TGCTCAATTATTCAACTTCATTTTTTGTTTGTACCTACGTGGTAGACATAAATTTTAAATGTGATCAAAGTAGTTGGTGAATTATTACTTTTGCGGTACATCGTAATGACTTTAAATCGATCTTATTTTTTGAATATACGGTGTGCATATGTCCAGTGCAACTTATTCTATTTTATGGAACTCGTAAGAATCCAAAGTTTAAAGAGTGCTAAGTCTTCATGTCGTTCTTCGTTATTTTCAATCATTTATGTTTATCGTGTTCAGGTTTTTGTCTTGTGATCTTCAAATATCTTGTAAATAAGTTGTAAAGATCTTCTGAAATCATCTATGACTGCGAAATTTCAAAATTAAATTATCAAAAAAACAATTCTTTAAAAACATGGTTTTTGACAACACTATTGCCTCTTTGTTTCCCTGAATAAAGTTTGAATGAGTCCCACGAACGAACTCTGAAAAGCGCCACATAAAGTTGTCCGTGACTAATACATCCTTTCTGGAGATCAATTACTATCCTATCAAATGTTTGTCCTTGAGATTTGTTAATCGTAACTCATTGCAAAGGCTAATTTTATTTTAAAATTGTCTTTGTTTGAACGTAAAGGGGTAGACGTTTTCGCAGTAGAGTGTTATTCGATTTATGAACACTATTTCTCCCTGTTTATCTACAGTCAATATCTCACAGCGTAACAGATTATCCCCAAGTTCCAGAACTAAAGGCCTTGTACCATTGCAAAGGCCTGCACTGATGCTTAGATTTCTAATAAGCATACAATAGAATTCGTTTTCAATCGTAAATCATGGAGCGGGAATTCGGCGGATTAAGCGAATTTAAATATTTTGGAAGAATAGCATCATTTAGATCACTATTATCACAGTTCTTGACACTATCTATACTGGTGTAGAGTTTTTCGGTCTTGACGTCCAACAGTTCGACAACTTATTCGTTTATTTCTTCGACATCAACATTTCTTGCAGAAAGTATTGCAGATTTGGTCAAGTCCCTGAATCTTCCTTCTTTTAGTATTGTTCGTCGACTTTTCGTATGAGGAGCGAGGGGGTGAAGCGAAAACCAGGGGTGACCTTAGGTGACCATTGGCGTTCAAATGTAGGGTGCCACCAGCTCACATTCCTTTCGAGTATTAGATTAAAATCGACGGACTTTACTTCTCATAGATGTTTTCAACAATATCCGAATTATCAATACATTTCTCCGACAATTTTAGATTGTCGTTAGAATCATTTAGTGTTCGTTATCGCATAAAAATGGCTCAATTTCAGCAATAAGTGCTTAATATTGGCCTTTAAGGCGGCAACCGTTCGAGATTTGTCAACATAGACTTTGGATTTTAGAATGCCCAGAGAAAAAAATCCAGTGACGTTAGGTCGGCCAATTGTGGATTCTGAAGGACGATCGTTGACATCATAAATTGCACGGAGTGCACGAAACGTTTTCCGAATAGAACATTGGTTTTGATAATGATAATAATTTTTAACAATTCCGACGCGTTGCTCAATCGTGTAGCGCTCCATAATAAAATGCAGAGACTAATTGAATACGGCTGCCAAAGATAGCACCTGTGTGACTATCGAGTTTTTCATGGGCTATTGTCAAACATCGAGCGTTACTATTGGAAAACCCTATACATACCTAGATTCTTCTATTGGACCTCGAAAAAATATTAAACCACTTCCTTGCTTTGAAAAACAACCATCTACAGAGCAATATCTAATAGCACAGCTAATAGGCATATTGTCAGAGAATTGTCACATAAGTAACAAATTCACAGTCCTTCACAAAGATGCAACCGAGGAGAACATTGAAAATGCCGAAGCAAACTTCAACGCTAATGCTTGTGATTATTGTGAGCTTTGAGATCCGCTAAAATTCAACCCTTTCCAGATTTTCCAGAATTTTTCCGACCCAATCCAGAAATTTCCATGCGTTTTCCAGACGTTTCCAGAAATTTCCAGACTTTATCCAGATTTTTCCAGACTTAGCTAGACTTTATGCAGACTTGTCAAAATTTCTCCAGACCTTATCAAGCCTTTTCCAGAGGTTTCCAGACATTTCCAGACTTTCCCAGACTTTATCCAGACTTTTCTAGACTTGGCTGGATTTTTCCAGACTTTATCCGGACTTGTCTAGATTTCTCCAGACCTAATAGAGCCTTTTCCAGACGTTTCCAGAAATTTTCTGGCTTTTCCAGACTGTATCCAAACTTATCCAGACTTTTCCAGATTTAGCTAGACTTTATCCAGACTTGTCTAGATTTCTCCAGACCTTATCCAGCCCTTTTCTGACCTCTCCGGACTTCTCCCAAACACTTTCCCGACTTCAAATACACTTTTCCAGACTTTATCCAGACTTGTCTGAATTTCTCCAGACCTTATCAAGCCTTTTCCAGACGATACCAGAAATTTCCAGGCTTTTCCAGACTTTATCCAGACTTTTCTAGACTTGGCTAGATTTTTCCAGACTTTATCCAGACTTGTCTAGATTTCTCCAGACCTAATAGAGCCTTTTCCAGACGTTTCCAGAAATTTTCTGGCTCTTTTCCAGACTTTATCCAAACTTGTCTGAATGTCTCTAGACCTTATTAAGCCTTTTCCAGACGTTTCCAGAAATTTCCAGGCTTTTCCAGACTTTATCCAGATTTTTCTAGGCTTAGCTAGATTTTTCCAGACTTTATCCAGACTTGTCTAGATTTCTTCAGACCTAATAGAGCCTTTTCCAGACGTTTCTAGAAATTTTCTGGCTCTTTTCCAGACTTTATCCAAACTTATCCAGACTTTTCCAGACTTAGCTAGACTTTATGCAGACTTTATCCAGACTTATCTAGATTTCTCCAGACCTTATCCAGCCCTTTGACCTCTCCGGACTTCTCCCAAACACTTTCCCGACTTCAAATACACTTTTCCAGAACTTATCCAGACTTGTCTGAATTTCTCCAGACCTTATCCAGCCTTTTTCCGACGTTTCCAGAAATTTCCAGGCTTTTCCAGACTTTATCCAGACTTGGGTAGATTTTTCCAGACTTTATCCAGACTTGTCTAGATTTCTCCAGACCTAATAGAGCCTTTTCCAGACGTTTCCAGAAATTTTCTGGCTTTTCCAGACTTTATCCAAACTTATCCAAACTTTTCCAGACTTAGCTAAACTTTATCCAGCCTTATCCAGACTTTATGCAGACTTGTCTAGATTTCTCCCGACCTTATCCAGCCCTTTCCTGACCTCTCCGGACTTCTTCCAAACACTTACCCTACTTCAATTATGTATAAGTAATTGCCTATCTATGAGTCGGCACTTAATGTATGCAAAAGCGGTAACAACCTTGAACTAACATAAACATATCGATTTTATATTCCGATTGCCTTATTTGCATAATTAAAGCGGTGACAACCTTGAACTAACATCTCGATTTTATAGTCAGAAAAGTCATTACCATTATTTACCTGCGTTCGTGCGTGTTTATGTTGTGTCTTGTTGTCTCATTTATTTGCCTTTTGCCTTGACAGTTGCCTAAAGGCATGCGTTGTTGTTGGTTAGTCTTAGTCAATAGTCAATAAGTCACATAGCGTTATGCCGTAAAACTAACTGCAGCTTGTTTTACCTGTTTTTATGAGACTAAACTACTGCATAGGTACTACCATTTGAAAAAAGCTGAATGCATGCAACATTTCACATTTCTGACATTCAATTTTTGTTTCTGACCATGGATTCTAAAAATTTAGACAATACTGTACAACTTTGGTATTTATAGTTTTGATCTTTTTGCAAAGGTGAAGGCTGTAGGTGGGGTGTCAATACATAAAAAACACTCTGAACAATAACTTATTATATAAAGTCAGAATTTGTAAGATTATCCACTTTTTGTCATTTCGCCTTTCAACAGGAATTAGTAATGTTACAGCGAGTTCCGCAGCCATCTATTCATCGATATGTTGTTCAATTACGATATTAACCTGATTCACTCAAATGTGAGTTATTCTCATTATAGTTTAAAAACTACATGTTTCAGGTGAATGTCTTACTTGAACAGTTCAATAGTATATTGATGAGTAGATGGCTGCGGAACTCGCTGCGCTCGTCCCGCAGAGGTCCACCCATAAGTTCCGCAATAATCCACTTATTTGTACTTGAACAATAACTTATTAAATAAACTCAAAATTTATAAGATTATGATTATTCACTTTTTGTCAATTCGCCTTTCAACAGAAATTAGTAATAAAACAACAGTTGTGTATTTCGGTGTAAATTTAATAAAATTGGCTGAGCGCTTTCGGTCTTATTAGACCATCTTCAGAGCCGCCCTATAACAAGCAAAGTGTACATGTTTAATTGTCTTTATAATAAAATTGGTTCTTAAGTACTTACTCGTCATAGAAATCGTGACTCAACATAGGACATTAAAAAACAAAACACCAAATAATGATACATTACAACGGAGACTTAAATAATATTAAAACACGCTTTAAAATTCTTGTATATAAAACAAACAGACACAAAAGATGAACAAATGGTAATTTTAAAAAATTTAAAAAAGAGGATGGTACGCTCTTAATAAAAGTACGTTGTCTTTTGGAATGCAACAAATATTATTTATCGATGTAAAAAACCCCAGAACCATCATCGCATGTATACGTAAAAAATTTATTATTATTTTGATGTATGATCTATAATTGACTGGGTTTGTCTAAGAAATTTTTAAATTGAAAATTGACTAGGTTTGTGTAGAAGTGGATGGGTAGGTATTATCAGCAAAGAATTTGAAGGTAGGACTTCTGAGGTTGGTTTCATTGGTCCTTATGTTAAGGCAATGGGTGGGGTTGTTTTTAACTTCTCTGGCAATTTCAAGGTCCTCTCTATAATCTAGAGATTTAGGGGTTGTTTGACCTCTGTGGAAAAATTATTTTGCTGTCCTCATAAGGGGAGAAATTATGTTTCGTGAAGTTAAGGTGGTGACAAAACGCAGAGTGTCGTGGTCTATTGATATGCTCTTTTATGCGAGTTGAAAGAGGTCGAATGGTTTTACCAATATACTGTGGCAGGACAATCTGAGCATTTGAGTTTGTAAACTCCACTTTTTTTGGGGTATGGGGACTATGGTTTGCTTGTTGTTGATTAGAATGGAACCTAATGAATTAGTGCTCTTAAAAGACAGTTTGATATTGTTTTGAGAACCGCTTAGTATCCTGGATATTTTATAGGAAAAAGGGCCAAGGTAAGGAAGGGAAACATATTTATTAGTTGAGGGATTTTGGGGTTGACTCTTGTAAGCTTGGATTGCTTCTCTTTTTGTTTTAATTTTGGCAATTTGTTTATCTACTATATTCGGGTCATACCCATTGTTAAAAGCAATTTGTTTAATGATGTTAGTTTCATTTTTTATGTCTTCAGGAGACATAGGGATATTTAATAAACGATTAATATAGCAGTTGAAAGAAGCATTTTGTGGATAAGGGGATGGTTGGAATGGTAAGGGATGATGTGATCTGTTTGTGTATTTTTACGAAATATTTTGAAGGATGGACAGTTGTCCTTTTTTGTAATGGTGATATCTAGAAAGTTGATGCTGCTGTTGGTTTCCGATTCTGAAGTGAATAAAATGGATGGATGCAAGTTGTTGAGAGAGTTCAAGACTTGCAAAGGATCACAAATAACTATTGCAAAACAATCGTCAACATACCTAAACCAATTCAATATTTTGTTTTCATTAAGTAGTAAAGGGACGGCATTTTTCTCTAATTTGTCCAGAAACAAGTCAGCTAAGAGTGGTGAAAGTGGGTTACCCATGGCAAGGCCTAATGTTTGGCTATAGAACTTGTCAATTAAAAATGAAAAAGTCTTGTGACAGGCAAAACTTAAGAAGCAAAATAATTTCTTCGATATCAAATGGGTCTATTTTATTTAATTGTAGAGCTTGTTCAACAATAGGTATTGTTTCAAGTCTTGGAATTGACGTGAATAGATTACTAACGTCAAAGGAAGTTAAAATGGAGTTTTCTGGAATATTAGTGTCTTTTAATCTTTGTATCAGATCTGTTGAATTTTTGATACAATACGTTAGTTTGTCTTTTAGATGGGAAGAAAGTAGATTGTTAAGGAAAGTGGAGAGTTTAGAAACTGTATGGTGAACCAGGTGAACTGTTATCGTGGACTCTGCAAGGGACGTGAGCTTACTACTTTGGACATATGGTTCCTACACAGATGTCTGGCCGAAGATGTGACTCCCACCTTTGCTAAATGTAAGACTTCTAACAATGTTCCCCACAACACTAAAAGACTGATGGAGAAGAAAATTATCAAGACTGAAATTTGTAGGCATTACGCAAAATTAAATAGATTAAACATAAGGCTTAAGCTAGTATATGATCAACTATGTGAAATTATTCCTTCAGTTCAGTTATCGCATGAATTAAACTCAATTTTCGATTTTGCTCTATTTCACAAAGATCTTAAATTTAAAAAACTCAACAAAAAGCTTCAGACATTGATAAAGAACAAAAAACTTTCACAAAATAGGCTCAATAACAAATGGTCTGATCACCCCTTTCATGAGAGATTAAAGAATTTGTCTAATATTTCTTTTTCGAATGATGAATTATCACTGCTCAATATGGGTTTGAAGTTTTCTTTGGAAGCTCCAACAGATAAAAAACAACTAGAAAACTATTCCACAGAAATTGACACAATCATAGATTTTATCACAAACAATAATGAAACAAAAATTACATTAAAGTCACAGGTATTCCAAATTCTTAAACAACAACTCCTCTAAACACACTCATACCTTTCACCCTTCAAAAACCAATAAAATTCTCACTGGTTTAAGGAAGAAAGTTCAGGACAATAACCTTGTTTTTTCAAAGGCTGATAAAGGCAATTGCTTAGTTATTTTAGATCGTCCCACATACATTCCAAAAAGTAGAAAACTTCTTACAGGAAAATAATTTTGTTGAACTTCCCAACAATCCCCTCCCTTCGTTCATCAATAAAACCAAAACACAGATTAAAAACATGTGAATTCGTAATCAAAAAGTTTTGGGGCGAGAAAAAGCTTACCTTAAGCAATCCTTGCATCCCTAGGCTGTATGGATTGCCTAAAATTCACAAAGATGGCATACCTATTCGCCCGGTTGTGAGTTTTACTAACACCCACCAGTTTCTAAACTCTCCACTTTCCTTAACAATCTACTTTCTTTCCCATCTAAAAGACAAACTAACGTATTGTATCATAAAATTCAACAGATCTGATACAAAGATTAAAAGACACTAATATTCCAGAAAACTCCATTTTAACTTCCTTTGACGTTAGTAATCTATTCACGTCAATTCCAAGACTTGAAACAATACCTATTGTTGAACAAGCTCTACAATTAAATAAAATAGACCCATTTGATATCGAAGAAATTATTTTGCTTCTTAAGTTTTGCCTGTCACAAGACTTTTTCATTTTTAATGACAAGTTCTATAGCCAAACATTAGGCCTTGCCATGGGTAACCCACTTTCACCACTCTTAGCTGACTTGTTTCTGGACAAATTAGAGAAAAATGCCGTCCCTTTACTACTTAATGAAAACAAAATATTGAATTGGTTTTAGGTATGTTGACGATTGTTTTGCAATAGTTATTTGTGATCCTTTGCAAGTCTTGAACTCTCTCAACAACTTGCATCCATCCATTTTATTCACTTCAGAATCGGAAACCAACAGCAGCATCAACTTTCTAGATATCACCATTACAAAAAAGGACAACAGTCCATCCTTCAAAATATTTCGTAAAAATACACAAACAGATCACATCATCCCCTTACCATTCCAACCATCCCCTTATCCACAAAATGGCTTCTTTCAACTGCTATATTAATCGTTTATTAAATATCCCTATGTCTCCTGAAAGACATAAAAAATGAAACTAACATCATTAAACAAATTGCTTTTAACAATGGGTATGACCCCGAATATAGTAGATAAACAAATTGCCAAAATTAAAACAAAAAGAGAAGCAATCCAAGCTTACAAGAGTCAACCCCAAAATCCCTCAACTAATAAATATGTTTCCCTTCCTTACCTTGGCCCTTTTTCCTATAAAATATCCAGGATACTAAGCGGTTCTCAAAACAATATCAAACTGTCTTTTAAGAGCACTAATTCATTAGGTTCCATTCTAATCAACAACAAGCAAACCATAGTCCATACCCAAAAAAGTGGAGTTTTACAAACTCAAATGCTCAGATTGTCCTGCCACATATATTGGTAAAACCATTCGACCTCTTTCAACTCGCATAAAAGAGCATATCAATAGACCACGACACTCTGCGTTTGGTCACCACCTTAACTTCACGAAACATAATTTCTCCCCTTATGAGGACAGCAAAATAATTTTTCCACAGAGGTCAAACAACCCTAAATCTCTAGATTATAGAGAGGACCTTGAAATTGCCAGAGAAGTTAAAAAACAACCCCACCCATTGCCTTAACATAAGGACCAATGAAACCAACCTCAGAAGTCCCTACCTTCAAATTCTTTGCTGATAATACCTACCCATCCACTTCTACACAAACCTAGTCAATTTTCAATTTAAAAATTTCTTAGACAAACCCAGTCAATTATAGATCATACATCAAAATAATAATAAATTTTTTACGTATACATGCGATGATGGTTCTGGGGTTTTTTACATCGATAAATAATATTTGTTGCATTCCAAAAGACAACGTACTTTTATTAAGAGCGTACCATCCTCTTTTTTAAATTTTTTAAAATTACCATTTGTTCATCTTTTGTGTCTGTTTGTTTTATATACAAGAATTTTAAAGCGTGTTTTAATATTATTTAAGTCTCCGTTGTAATGTATCATTATTTGGTGTTTTGTTTTTTAATGTCCTATGTTGAGTCACGATTTCTATGACGAGTAAGTACTTAAGAACCAATTTTATTATAAAGACAATTAAACATGTACACTTTGCTTGTTATAGGGCGGCTCTGAAGATGGTCTAATAAGACCGAAAGCGCTCAGCCAATTTTATTAAATTTACACCGAAATACACAACTGTTGTTTTATTTCGTTTCGACGGTGTACATCCTGCTCTTCAAAAAAAGAAATTAGTAATGTTACTTTACCAAACTAGTAATATATTGTGACAAGTTATTCAAGTACAAATGAGTGAATTGTTGCGGAACTTATGGGTGGACCTCTGCGGGACGAGCGCAGCGAGTTCCGCAGCCATCTATTCATCGATATGTTGTTCAATTACGATATTAACCTGACTCACTCAAATGTGAGTTATTCTCATTATAGTTTAAAAACTACATGTTTCAGGTGAATGTCTTACTTGAACAGTTCAATAGTATATTGATGAGTAGATGGCTGCGGAACTCGCTGCGCTCGTCCCGCAGAGGTCCACCCATAAGTTCCGCAATAATCCACTTATTTGTACTTGAACAATAACTTATTAAATAAACTCAAAATTTATAAGATTATGATTATTCACTTTTTGTCAATTCGCCTTTCAACAGAAATTAGTAATGTTACTTTACCAAACTAGTAATATATTGTGTCAAGTTATTCAAGTACAAATGAGTGAATTGTTGCGGAACTTATGGGTGGACCTCTGCGGGACGAGCGCAGCGAGTTCCGCAGCCATCTATTCATCAATATGTTGTTTAATTACGATACTAACCTAACTCACTCAAATGTGAGTTATTCTCATTAGTTTAAAAACTACATGTTCCAGGTGAATGTCTTATTTGAACAATTCAACACTATATTGGTGAGTAGACGGCTGCGGAACTCGCTGCGCTCGTCCCGCAGAGGTTCACCCATAAGTTCCGCAATAATCCACTTATTCGTACAGGGTGTTTATTTATATATTGACACTCCACCTACCTCCTTTTACAAGTAGAAAAAAGGTGTAAATACAAAAGTTGTACAGTTTTGGCTGAATTTTTAGATATCATGATCAGAAACAAAATTTGAATGTCAGAAATGTGAAATTTTGCATACTTCCAGCTTTTTTCAAATGAGATGCCCTATATTTAATTCTATATTCTTGAAGAGCACAATGCCCCAAAATATATAGGTACTTTGTCTATATTTGATTGAACAGTCTCTCATATATTCGGCTCCAAAAATTGTAAAAATACTATCCTACTAGGTATACTGATTTTGTAAACCATTCTACCTGTACAGGTGAAAGCTGCAGGTAAAATTTAAGGTAGGTACTCAATGAAAGCCGGCTCAATGAAATATAGACAAACTATATAGTTTTGGAATCGGGAAATTGTACTCTTCAAGAATATAAAACCAAATAATAGGGCATCCCATAGGTAGTGCATATTTAATAGGAATATCTCATGTGTCTTAATCTTAATAAACTATTTTTCATAAGTAGTATTGGTGTTTGGTTTTCTAATGCAAGTTTTCATAGTCTAATACATAGTCTAATGATTTAATAATTTGGAAAGACGTACCTAGTTAAAATAATTAATTGAGTATACCCTAATGGTTTACCCCTTTTAACAAGGCAACTTATCTGTCTACTGATTTCTACTGATATTTAGACTAGTAATCCACTGACAAAACAAAATATGACCTGGCAATACTGCATAAATCTATAAAATAAAATTCTTCTCGCATAACTTGTCAGATCGTTTAAATTTAAAAAGCGGAATTTGTCGACGACAGCTACAACGGTAGCTAATGGCCCTAATGATCGGTATTAGAGGGGCTGGAATTAATTTAATTAAACGGCTTCGATATTAATCAGCTAATTTTGCTTCTCTTTAGCAAAAATAAATATTTTATTAACCTAAAAGGCATTTTTTATTTGCTCCGCAAAACATCTAGTATGCAAAACGGTCCAAATTAAAGACTGCATCATGTTCCACTCATGATGGCGCAGGAGTTTTTAATATAACCGTGGAACATTCCGCATAGCTGCTATTACGCCTTTTTACATTTTATATTTCTGGATGTCGTATCCAGAATATTTATTTGCATATCCGGGGAGGAACATGGCAGTAATTTTGCACCTCAGCCGGAAACGCGAAAATGTTATTATAAAGGCACGGGCTGGAACGAAACGTGTGTACCTACGTGCGTTGATTAAAATATTTATCTACAACTTTTATTTTTCAATTTGATATAGAAACTGAATAAAAAAATGGCACGATAAAACATAACTTGCAACTTTTAATAAAGTAAAATACATATATACAAAATATAATATAAAATAAAAAAACAATGCAGTCTCATACATGTATAAGTAGACCCAATATAATGTTTTAAAAATAAGTAGTTTGTCTTAGCTATATATAAAGGCTTTTCTCTATGGTGAGCCATTTTGCGGTTGCATAGGTCTAGTCGGCGATTCGGGATCTTCATTATTAGCATCCTCTGTTTTTTTAACGAAAAATATGCAACCCAAGAAACAGAAGAAGGAGATGACGATTATTCCTAATAAAGCGTACAAAACTGCTAAGTATATAAATGCAGACATATAAACGGTTTTGTTGCAATAGTTCTTATCATTCGGGTTGATGAAGTTTGGCTTGTATTCTTTGAAAACCCAGTAGGAACCTGAAAAAAAAAAAATATATAAACTTATCCAATGTAAAAAGCAAACATTTCTATGTCCTCTATACTATTTTATTTTGGTCAAGTGAGCAAATAAGGAGAAATTTTATCACTCATCAATGCAATGTGTTGATGATTTGTTCTTTCAGCAAAAGTAAGAAGATCGTAAAATGTTCTCGGATTTGGGCTGATTCAGTAGTTTGCCCGGAACCAATCAGTCACACTAGCTGAACACTCACATATTCCCTCCATTTCAAACACCGAAATTAGTTTGTATGGATGTTGGAAGAAAACATTTTCTGTCTGATTTTAAATGTACAAAAATAGTTGTGCCGATTATCAAAAGTTCAAGACTGATGGGTCATTTTGCATAATTTTAATTAACTTATCTAAAAATACGAGTATTATTATGCAAGCCGATTAATCAGTACCTATAAACAAGGTTTCCGCTCACCTTAAACTTGTTAATTCTGTAACATAATAAAATCTTTATTGTTTATTAAAGCTTGAAATATTATTATATTATTATTATGTTATTATGATGACCTTTTCAAGTGCATATTTATGAAAATGTAGGCTCACTCTTGTTGCAAAAATCCTATAATATCTACTTGTTTTGGAATATACTTATCTTATAGGCAACTAAGAAAAAAAAACAAGTTGAAATTTGGTCGCAAGGGCAAGTATGGAATAGAAAGTTTTGAAAACGCTTTCGAGATTTTTTACAAAACAAACCTCATTCTTTCGTCAGAAATTGGCATTAGTCACTTCACTGATCAAAATTGGATAGGAAGTAAACTGTTCTCTTGGTTACAAAAAAATGTGGTAGGTTATACCTACTTTCGTTACTCATCTATACTTATTATTATACTAACCTAAGATTAAAAATACCAGTTCCACTGTATAGGTAGACGATTCCCATAAATGTATTTTATCTGTTGTCTTTAGCACTGTCTCCTTTAGAATGCTGAGAGTTTTATTGACCAACCCAATTGCCCCTAAAATATATAAATATGATTACATAAGCTATTGAAGTATTTAAAATAGTTTGCTATGATTTCCCAATATTCTTGTTGAGCTACAAGTCTACTTTCTAATAATAAAGCAGCGGAGTTCATCATGACTACTATTTCTGATCGGCAACGAATATTAGGCCAGAAAAGAAAAGTTGAACTTCGCAAACTCGACACAAGTTCTGGTTTTTTTTTCTGGTAGGACTGCTTATTAAGGGGCTAACTTTTTCCAACAAAATTTCACCCTGGAACATCCCCTTTCATCCTTCTAAAGGTCTTTTTTTTGTGGTTTTGTAAAGTTGAATGACCTTGAAAAAAGATGTTTTGGAAATTATTATTATTTTTATTGAACAGTAAAGCGAATCCACAAACGAATCCCTTAATATTTTCTTTCCGTCTAGTGGGCTTGTACTAGAAAAATGCTTTTGGTGTCTATGCATGTATGTTAGATGCGCACAAAATAATATTTGAACCATTCACATGGAGGGCATTGTGTGCGAGAAAATGAAAAAAAAGGGCATTTTTTGTCAAATTTTATTTTTTTGAGATGATTCCAGATGAAAATCGGGTTGCATTATATGAATTTTTAAATATCATTCCTACATCACTAATCCCTGAAAATTTGAACAGCCTAGCATTAGCCCTTCAGATGATATGAAAGGGGGTTGTTTGAATTTCAACACCATGTATTTCTAAAAGGGGTGAATGTTTTTAAATAAAACTTATACCAAAAAATCGGCCAATTATTTATGAGTAGATGCTGCATAGTTTGTGGTAAATCCGTTTTACTGTTCAGTCAAAAAAAAATAATTCCCAAAACAAACATCTTTTCTCAAGGTCATTTAACTTTAGAGCCCCACCCTGGCTAAAGGGTAGGTGATAGACAAATGCTGTCGCTGGATAAATTGTTGAGCATTTAGTATTCTCTAATTTACTATTAAGGTATTTTGTTGTAACGTAGCGGAAGCGGTAAGTTTGGGAAAAACCAAAAAAAAAAAACGACCTTTAAAGGGGGTGTGACCCTAAAAAACAACTTAAGCTACTTAAATTAAGAAAAAAATTCTAAGATCTCTTGTGAAAACCACAATCCTATATTCAAAATAGTCTCCGAGAAAATTCCATCTGAAGATAAATTATGCAGGAGTTTGTGATGTCACAACCGCCGAAATCGCAGTCTTCTGTTCGTTCAGTCATCAGTGAACCGTACCCCATACTTTAAGTGGTTGCAATACCCTCTAGGAGATCATTATCTTTTGTTTTGGAAAATTCTTACACATGTTAATACTGTCCCTAATAATCCAGTGTGACGTCACAAAAACTTAGTTGTAACTTTAAACCGCTGTAACTCGAAAACGGATCATCGTAGCAAGATGCGGTTTAAATAATTATTCTTAGATTTTTTTGTACTAAAACTTTAATTTTACGGTCACACCCCCTTTAAGAGGATGTTCCAGGGAGAAATTTTGATGGAAAAAGTTAGACCCATAATAAGCAGCCCTTGTCCTACCAGAAAAAAAAAATAAAACAGAGCTTGTGTCGAGTTTGCGAGGTTCAACTTCTCTTTCCTGGCCTATATAGCCACCTTACAATATATCCTAAATAGAGTCCAAATACTTGTTGAACAACTTAAAAATAAACAAGTTTGTAGGTACAGGGGAAATCATTTACCAGAAATCGCAAAAATGAAGTCCACATCAAAATTACATTAAGATAAGAAACCACACAGAAACGAATGATTCATAAAATAAAGCGATAAACATTATGTTTTTGTTTTCTGTTTTCGAATTTACTGCTCAGTTGTTAAGTGAGCACTTAATTATTTCTTTTATCGATCTATCGAGTTTCCTGAAATATGAAACTAGCTGTTCAAAAATATGACTTAACTAGGAAGCACCCTGTATTTGGTTATACAGGTGACTTTCCTGAGCAAATGGAAGATAAAATTTTGACTTGCTTTGTGATACTATGTACATAAATTACAAATTTTGATCATTATGCAGACACTTTCTTCTGTTTCTCTAAACAATAGTAGGAGAAAATAGGCAATTCAAAATATTCTTACCTGTAACTATCACAAAAAATGGAATCATATCCTCTGCTGGGCATCTGTGAATACCCCATATTCCAATCACAAATAATGCAAAATAACACAAAAGTGCTATTATCAAGGAAATTTTGACCCCAGCTAAAAAAAAAAAAAAACATTACTTGCATTTCTAAAATATAAAAATGCAATTTTTAAAGAAATTCTTTCGTTGAAAATGACATAAATGCAATGCAATGACTAACAATAATACCAAAGTTTACTAATAGATACATACGCAAAAATTTGTCCTTAACTTTTCGAAACCAGGATTTTTCCTCTTCGCCATGTACAATTAGACGCGGTGAGTTTTGCACAGAGTCTTGAGACGCCTCTTGTGATCTCTCCATTTTCTCAGAACTTTCAAATCAAGATTGTTATTAATACACGTTTTACGTTTCACCGGCTAATGAATGATAAATAATATTGTTTGTGTGCTGCTCGTTTGTATCGGTGTGGCTGCTAATTGTGGTCGCAAAACATAGTTGCCAAAAGTTTGGCTTTCTACTGCAAATAACTTTTGCATTAGGTATATCAAATATAAATAAATTTACAGCGTAAGTTGGCAATGCTGCACGACTATTATCTGATTTGTAACTATGCTATTTTTAACTAATTTATTTTTATATTTGTGAACTTGGCTGCCTGTGTTTTTTTAAATAGTATGGGCAAGTCTACAGAGAATCGTTTGATTGTTAAGGTAGCTTTTCCCATCATTAGTTTAAAAAGCTTGTTTGTGTAGGCGCCGACTAATAATAACAATAATTTAGTTTAGTTTGAGTAGATTGATTTGTTGAAAATGAAGTTTCAATTTTAATTACCACTGTAACCTCTACCTAATCCAAAATTAAGTGACTGATTGAGAATTTTTAGATACACTTGGATTAAGGAAAAAGGACCCCGCAAAAACCTTATGAGAACTGGCCCTCAGTGGATCTTATGAAATTTTGCTATGGATAGTTCTTGACCTATAGATCAAAAAAGTCCATGAGCACAAAGTTCTAAAAATTCACCTTTTTGAGTTACAGTCGTTTGAAGTTGCGTCATATGTGAAATTGCTCAAACCTTATACAGTCTAGTTTTTTCTGTTACTTCGTGAATTTTAGAACATCATAGTATCATTGTAGTATAATACGCTTTAAATTATACGATTCCAGAAATGGCCACTTTTAAACCATAGGCGTCTTAACACATTGACTGCCACGTCATACATATATGAATGACACGGCCACTTCCGTTCCGGCCGCGTCATTCATATTTGTATGACGGTTTAGTTTCACTTCTAGGCCATGTCATACATGTATGACAGCCTGCGTATTTTAAATGGAGATATATTTGCGTGGCCCCTGGGGATTCTCAAGGTAAACTTGGCCAGAGCAAATTTTATTGGGTTATTGTCCAAGACGAATAAAACCCAAAATTTACTTAAAATATGTATAATTTTAGGTAAAAAACTGTCAAACACAAAAAAAAACTAGGTCTTTCTGATAGGATGTTCGATGTTCCTAAATATCATGTACAAACGAAAGGAGGTTTATTTTATGACTAAAATTTCCAATAAACATAGGTCAGCAAACGCTTCGTTACCGATCTACAGGGTGTTGAAATTGTAATATTTTTTAGTTTTTTTTTTATAGCTCCTGCAATTTTTGAGGGATTTAGCTCAAATTTGGAATAAAGGTTACTCAATAAGAGCTGAATTATTGCACATATCAAGCGTTTGCCAGAATCTACGGGGGGATGTTTTTTAGGGGTCATGCCCCCTTTTCTGCCCCTGAACTTTTTCGCAGTGCGCCAGTGGTCGATTCTAAGAAACAAAATAATTGTTTTACCTTATTTAGAAACGTTTTGTTCTGCTGTAGTTATTTCGTATCACCGACCCTTATCGAGAAAAAAATTAAAAAACAAATCTCTGTAATTAGCCAGATGAAACCAAAGTTACTGAATAAACCTTTTCCAACTACAGTGGCGACAATAGCAGCCATATTTTTGCTCATTTTCAATAGGAATCTAGAAGTGAAAGCACTCCTTGCCACCATATTTTTGCTCATTTTCAATATGAAAACATTAAAATTTAAACACCCTGTAGATCGGTAACGAAGGGTTTGCGAACTTATGTTCATTAGAAATTTAAACATAAAATAAACCAAAGAATCACCCCCTTCCGTTTGTAAATAATATTTAGGAACACCCTGTATATGATGAAATATGAACTTATAATAATTTAGAAAAGGAACAGGCCAAATCCTGAATCATTCGCTGGGGGCCAAAGTTGTATATTCGTATTTTTCAGATTTTATTTTATTTCACAGTGAAAATTTACTTATAATTTTGTTTGGTTTTTATTTTTTTGGCTTTTTTGCATTTTTTGTTGTGTCAGTGCGATAAAATTTCGTCAAAGTTTTCCAGGGGGCTGCGTCATTCATATATGAATGACACAACAAAAATGCAAAAAAGTCAAAAAAATAAAAAACAAACAAAATTATAAGTAAATTTTCACTGTAAAATAAAAGAAAGCCAAAAAATACGAAAGAACAACTTTGGCCCACAGCGAATAATTCAGGATTTGGCCTTGGCAGTCAATGTGTTAAGAGGGGTTAAAAATAATTGTAAAATAATAGTTATTTATACACCAAGTGAGTTAAATGAATGTTTACCCATGAGAAGAAAGTTTAACTTACGAGCCCTAGCGAGTGGGTTGATTTTTTTCAAATGGTGCATACAATGCTTTATTTTCTACTGAATATAATATTCCTTCATCAATTTAGTATCAAACATGTACCTTTACTACCTGTACTCACCTCATTTATTTACCCATAATTATTTTTAAACCCCTCTTAGGACGTCTATGGTTTAAAAGTCGCCATTTCTGGAATCGAATAATTTGAAACGTATTATACTATGTATAGGTCATTCTAAAATTCACGAAGTAACCGAAAAAACTAGACTGTATAAGGTTTGAGCAATTTCACATTATGACGTAACTTCAAACGACTGTAACTCAAAAAAGCGAATTTTTAGAACTTTGTGCCCATGGAGACTTTTAATCTATAGGTCAAGAACTATCAGTATGCAAAATTTCATGAGATTCCACTGAGGGCCAGTTCTCATAAGGTTTCTGCGGTGTCCTTTATCCATGAAATTTTTGGTCTAACGATTGAACCAACCAATTCCTAATAGCCAGATATATACCACCGGATTTCAGAACAGAATCTCTATTTTAAATGCAACATTTGCAAAGCAAAATTTAAAAAAAAGGCAGTTTGAAGAAACACAAACTAACACACTTGGACGAGAAGAATTTTAAATGCAACATATGCAATGCAAAATTTAAAGAAAAATTTAAATTAGGAAAATTTAAACAAAATGGTAAAAGTCACATATCAACAGACTTCGATAGTTATCTTTTTGAATGTGACATTTGCAAAGCAAAATTCAGAGGAAAAGACTGTTTAAAGAGACACAAACTAACACAGTCTGATATTTATCCTTTTGAATGTGACACATGCAATGCAAAATTTGAACACAAACGTAGTTTGAGAAGCCACATATTAACACACTCGGATGAAGAGAATTTCAAATGTAACATTTGCAATGCAAAATTGAAAAGAGAAGGAACATATATTGATACACTTGGATATTTAATTATTTTGAATAGGACATTTGCAAATCAAAATTTAAACGGAAACGCGATTTGAAGATACACAAACTAACACATTCGGGTATTTTATCCATTTGAATGTGACACTTACAAGGCAAAATTTGAAGAAAAATAATTTACAAAGGCACATTTCAACACACTCGGATAATTATCCTTTTGAATGTAACACTTGCAAATGAAAATTTAAATGGAAAGCCGATTTAAACATTCACAAACTAACACATTCGGATATTTATCCATTTGAATGTGACACTTGCAATGCAAAATTTAAGCAAAAACATAATTTAAGCCACATGTTAACACACATATTGTTTATTATTTGATTCACTTAATAGTGACATGTGTTTAGCTCCGGGATCCTTGAACTCAGCCGCAAAATTCACCAGTTCCGGAATAAGAAAAGGGTGACAATTTATCAATATGCAAATCGGTACACTGAGATATAGATATTAAATCAACTTATTTACTTCTTATAAATAGCTAAAATCTCAGGCATGGTAGAGGAAGATCCAAAACTTAGGTTTAAGCATTGAATATAGAAAAAAAAGATTCAGAAATCGGTAAATCGTTACATAATTGTTTCGGAATGATGTTTTTGGAGAATCAAGAAGTTAGCGATTTCTTTGTTTTCGAGTTGTTAGCTATTCAGCTGAATCACGAAGTTCTAGTTAAATTTTCAGATTATCTCATCGACACATGGCACATGCCTCGATAGACCTGGATAAGAAAACAAATGCCTGTGAATCTTTCCATGGTCGTTTTGGTAGATCTTTTTATTTTGCGCATCAAAATACATATTTACACTTTTTCAGATTTATTAACTCATATGCAATGCGAAATCTGTCAACATCATAAGGTAAGTTTTATGGGAAGTAGGTTGGGTTTCATGATTTGGTCGAATTCAAAGGTAGGATTACTGCAGCTACCTGGTTTGTGGCCGAATTCAAGTATACCTGTTTCGCTCATACGAGCATCATCGGACCTACAATATAATATATATAGAAAATAATTAAAATTTAAGAAATTTCCAGGGGGGGTCGAGTGACCCCCCCTGACTCTCCCTGTGAGCGCCCTTGATCTCAACGTGCAAAAAATTTGAAACTCAATTAACCATCTATACAAAAATACCCAAAGAAACTTTTCTCAAAAAAAGCTCCCCAAACAAAAAAGATTTTTCCGGCAAACAATTACATAGGTACATAAAAGTTTGTTAGGCGATTCCTTATAAACTCAACATCGAGGGAGATATATCAGCACCTGATGCTTCCATCAGTGGGTGAGTATTGTATTGGCTAAATGGCTGTATTCAGGTGCCTATCAGATAATAAATCCGAAACTTTTCCAATAAAAAGGGAGAAAATGTTATCCTTTGTTATTTTATACAGAAGAGTTTGATTTATTAAATCTACAAGAAAGTACACATGTACTAAAAGCAATGCAAATCTTCGTTATATAGATACCTACTTATAAATTTTTAATGTTCCCTATGAGGAGAAACCCCCAACAAAATAGTAAACGATTATTACTCTTGCAGCAAGCAAGAATACTATCTGCTAAAATATATAAAACTAGATATCACGGGAGAAGAAGATACATTTCCGTAATAAAAGCTATCCAGATGAATACTTTTTAGGGGCGGCATTGACAAAAGAATTGGGGCCCCTTTGTGGCTTCCTTAAAAAAAAAAACATTTTCCAGAATTATTATTGTCTTTCGCCATGAACATAAAATCAATAGATTTTTTTTATATAAAAAATTAACTTACTTACTCAAAACCATATAGGTACATAGAGGTTGTCAGGTTGTAAATACACCTACAAAAGAAATAAATACTTCAGCCCTGTTTGTAATAAATAATGTTTTGCCGAAAAATAAGTAAAAAAAAAATGATTGATGGCGAAAAAAAAAAAAAAATTCAATGAAAACTTAGTGTGTTTGGGAGTGATTTATTTTATACTGGCAGAAAAAAAATAACGGAATATTGTATCTTATGGTCCACTGGAGGGTGATATTTTTCAATACCTCACTTTAGTGGATCATCATTTATATACCTATAGTAAAAGCGTTGGTTTGACATTTTATATTTGATAAAGAAAGACGCTGTTTTATGTTCGTGAACTTCATATTTATATTCTATTAGACCACCAGGAATAACGGGCTCAACCATTTCCATTACTTCCATCCAATAACTATTCAATACATGTGACAGAAATAGTCATATTAGTCGAGGTCAAATCAAATCAAAAAAGGCTTTATTGTACAAAAAGGCCTTAAGACTTCAGACCCTTCTGAAACAATATTATTGCAGCTTCCATCATCAAAACTGATCGTGGTTAGATCTAAATTTAAAAGCTTTTTGAACTTATACCTTTCCTCTATGTTAAAAGTATTGGCGGAAAGGGAATCCTGGATATCTAAAACCATTTGCCCAAAACAACGACTGAAAAATGAAACTGAATGCAATTAGGCCGGTTCAACTTTTAACAACTTTAATTGAAAGGAAATTCGTTTCAGATTTCACGTTGCAAATAAATTCTAACTCCGTCAATTAAGACAATTAATATTGTTTCAAGAATCATAATGAGTAGAGTAGAGAAACCAATTTTTTTCGAATTGGTAAGTATCAGATTTTACCATCAAAAAATATAAAAATAGGTAAAAAGGTAACTTTAAATTAATTTAGAATGGCGGATTATTTAAAAGTAATCTCTTATTACGCCGATTGGGATTAGATTAAACTTAATTTCTGGATCAACTCTGGTGTTTGCAAAGGATTCGTCTGCGGGCCATGTTACTTAATATATTGATACATTTTGAACCCGCTCATATTCTCGATTAACCGCAAAATAATTAACTCGCTAAATTGATAAAGCGTCCGCTAAACCAAAGTTTGCTAAACCTAGGGCTTCAAAGCAGTAACTTCAGGATTTCAAGGCTTTAATGTAATGCCTCTGTTTTACACTATCTTTTTAGTTACCTATTAATTTTGTGTAAACATTATTTTTCACTATTAATAAATACGTTGAATAAGACAGGAACGATATTTTATTTGATATGCCAAGAAAACTAGTTGATCCATTACATTCATCTTGATTATTTCTGGTTTCTCTTTAGTTTTTAGGATAATGTATGTACCTCTTCGATGTTTTAATGTGTGTGTCTTAATGTAAAATAATACCATCATACTCTAACGACTCCGGGGTGCGTGACAGAAATCTTGGATCCGTTTATTCAAAATCAAAGTCCAATTAACACAACAATAATTTATTCCACGTTACTACGTACGCTGGTCCTTAACTTCTTATCTTAATTGCTGAACATCATCTTTATAACTTGTTGAAAATTGTCTTTAACTTCTTGTTCATCGTCTTCAACTTCTTGAACATCTTCTTTAACTTCCTCAATCTTTTATTCCAGGTTAGCGACAGATCCTTGTATGGTTTGAAATATTTTCTGCAGTTGTCCAATGTCTTCTTGCCGTTGTTGTTGTCGCCTAACCTCTTCGTTTTGTCGTCTAACTTCTTCTTCTTGCTTTTCTTCTTGTCGCCTGGCCTCTTCTTGTTGTCGTCTAGCTTCTTCTTCTTATTTTTGTTTTTGTCGCCTAACCTCTTCGTCTTGTTGTCGTTTGGTCTCTTGAAGCTGCAACATTTTGCGCAGAAGTTCTTCCATTTTTGCTTGTTGTCTCGTAATAAACATACAGAATGTTCTGGAATTTCTCTCAAACTTTCTTCAAATATCTTTCCTGGTCTTTGCTTGAAGTTTCAAACACGTCGGTGGAGTCACATATTGGATAACTTGCTTTATACTAGACCAGAATATTCTAGAATTTTCTTGAAATGTCTTTTCTGAATGTCGACTAATATAGCAAACACGTCGGTGAAGTCAAAAATTCGATATCTCCCTTGATTTCCAAATAGAATTTTATAGAACTCACTTGAAAATTCACTATCACAGTCAAAATCTGATATACAGTCACTTCCTAGGTAATTTCCACAGTTGGTGATTGTCACTGCTTGAATTGACTAACTGTCCCAGTGTTCACTTAGTGTCCACAGTATCCACACTATTCTGCAATCGGATTTCACTTTGCAGTCCTCGAATTATATTCCACTTCTGACACCAATGTCACGACTCTGGGGTGCGTGAAAGAAATCTTGGGTTTATTCCACATTACTAAACACTCTGGCATTAATTACTTCACTAATTAACTCAAACAACTGAGCCTTTTACAACTCTTACGAATATTCACTATTTGAATCATATCACAGCAAATCTTGAAACTAAAAACTAACTAACTGATACCGATTCTTGTAAAATCTAGAATAAATCTAGAATCATTTGTCCAATTCTGTACACCCTGACGCTTCCCAGATTTTCGCGACAATATGTTAAAACATTCAATAATTATTTGAAAATTTAAATAAATAAGTATAAGACTGAGGAGTGTTGTGATAGCATTAGCCAAGACGCCCAATAGTGCCAAAATGTTATAAGACTATATTCATGTCGGTCATAATCATATATCATACTACTCTATTGTCAACTTGTTTTGTCCATGCATGTCATTATCATGCTGCAGAGGCTTTTTGTTTTTTTTATAATAATATCGTCTATATATTCAATGACATTCTATATCCTATTTACAATCTGTAGTCCAAAGGTACAGGTAAATTTACCACCTTTCCCTATCAAATAGCATTGAAGGGTGATAAATTTTACCTGTACCTTTGGACTATAGATTGTGAATAGATAATGTGTCTCATCTATTATACATATAAGCAATCAGCTATAAACAATAATAGTCTGATGCGTTATCAAAAAATCTTATTTTGTCCTGAGTAGTCAGTAGGTAAATATTGTCTGAATTATTAGTGAATAGTAGTATTTTCAAGAGTGAAGTTTTAGAAAAGGCACCTTACCTATACCCTTTTAGTTAACATACTAGCTCATCAAGTCTTTGCCAAGATTATTCACAAATCTTACACCCAATTAATGAAATGATACACAATCAACAAAGATTCACGATAAGAAGAACTTTGCATTTTGCTTCTGAGGTGGATAGTAAGTAAGTGACTAAAATTTGGCCATCTTCCTCTGTAAAACGAAGTCCTGTTTCTCTTTATCATTTATTTTTAACTGTTCGTTTTTATATTTACCGCAGCTGTGCAATTATTTTATCGGTTACGATATACGACAAACGAGATTCGAATATTAGGCAGCATTTACCGGAACCGCATTTGAGCAACGACAAAAGCTCCCTATTGATAGATATGTAATAATTGATTTGCAATGTTCACATACCTGCTTTTTATTTGTAGGTACAAACCCTCGGGAAACAAACATTACATTCTCATCTTACAAAAACCTGTATTTTTTGTTGGGCCATCTTCATAATATTTGGACAAAAAGTTTAGCTGCCTGTTATAGCAGAGCCTGTCACAAATACTGATAAATAGTATTTCAAATACCAAGTATCAATTACGGGAAATTCATGTTGCACGTACAAATACTAAATACCTACTTTCAATTTAAAAAGTACTTCAAGTTTCAAGTACTTTAATTTATTAGTACTTGATTTTTTCAAGTAAAATAATTCAAATACTCTGTAAATATTTCAAGTAGGTACCTACTTAATTAAATATTTGAAATACCTATGTAGTGTATTTGAAAGGATAAGAAGTACTTCAAGTACCCACTAAAAACAAATTCAAATTATTCAATGATTTTTGTAAATTGTATTGAAAGCTGAAAATACTTGTAATACCTCTAAAAACGTTCCTACTACAGAGATTCCAGATTCCAAGATTCCAGTTGCAGATTTTAGTTACTTTCAATTTAACGATTTAAAATTTTTCTAGAAAAGGTTGATTAAGAAATAAAGTGCAGTGGGATTATTTTAATATACCTATTTATTCAGGAAAATAAACTTTTACAATAGTACATTATATACCTAGGTAGAAAAGTTGGTCATTATAATGCGTAAGGTATATAATGACTTTCTCTATCGACGGATATATAGAATTTTTTTACTACACTGAGAAAATTTTTTCATTGTCATAGCTAATTTTTCTGCTGACGTAGCCAAAAATTTTGGCTACATAGGGGACAGCCAAGATCTTTACTACCGCCGAAAAGATAACTTTACTGGCACCGTTTATTTGCGGTAGCAAAGTGACTTTATAAAGAAATTTACTCACAGTTTCTACAAGGTCACTTTGCTGGCATAGAAAAGCTACTTTGCTGTCGTAGGAAAGTAACTATGCTGTCCTAGAAAAGAGGTTATATACCCTCAAAAACATCCTTTTTTGCTATTGAAAAGTAGATTGCTAAGCTAAGACAGAAAAGATATTTGTTGTTGTTATTAGAAATGCTTTCTGAAATAGGAAAGCGTTTGTCTCAGAACAAAAAATTTCTTGCCAGAATCAGCCAAGTGTTTTATAAGCCATGGGAAGTTATTTGTCTCACCAATAGCAAAAATATTTTGCTGGAAATCTTTGGAAAACCCCTAAACTTTCATTACCTGATCTGAAATAATCTCAATTAATGAAAAGTTTGGCGCTAGAGTTGTTTCTGCTAGTTTTGATGGATGCGCTGGCACCATTTCCAAAAAGATTCCCAGCGACCGACACTCGACTTGACTCGACAGCATCCACGATCCACACCGTACGGCGTTAGCTACTAAACTAAAATGGAAGAAAATGAACACGAAACATATTCTATCGGTTATTTTTGGACCCGAAGAAATCACGGAAATGTCGGAACGGTATTTTTAGTTAAGTTATTTGGTTAGGGTAGCAAAAAACATTACTGTAACAATAACAAAAATTACAGGATTTTTTTTTGCTGCAACAGTAAAGTATCTATCTATCTTAGAAAAGTTCTATTTCGGAGAAGCAGAAATATTTTCATAAAATTTTAATTTTGCTATAACAGCAAAGTTTGGTTTTGGAATAAGAAATATCTTTGCAGTTTCAATAAAGTAGTTTCAGCAAAGTGATCTTTTCTGTAGAAGCAAAATAACATTGCTACCTCTAAAACATTTTCCACTGTAACAGCTAAAAAAAAACCAGCAAAGAATTTTCTCCTGGGACTTTTCTCAGTGTACTGCTAGTAGAAAATAAAAAATAGGTTTGAAACCCGTGCTGAAATTATTTTCTCTTGTCGGAAGTGCTGCCCTCTATCAACAGCTTACGGTAATTTCCTATAATGTATGTACCATCGTCACCAAAAGTAACTGGGACACAAATAATGCATAGTAATCTCCTGGACTAATTCTACTGTCATTCATTTCAATGCATTTAATTCATAGTTTGACAAATATTTGATAATAAAATTCATATAATAGGACAAGAGCTAGTGTGATGCTGTCCCAGTTACTTTTGGTGACGATGGTACATACAGGCAACGTCAATAGAAACCTGTTACGTTATGACAATATCCTTGCGTCATGACGTCATTTTCATTATTGACCTAGGTATTTTATCATTATTTCCAATATTAACCTAGGGAGAGAAATTCATCAACTTTTTCCCAGAAAAATTGATGGAATAATGACTTCTTCTCAGGTTAGTAGTAAAAAAACTACTTTACGCGCTGATGCGTGACATTTTATGTCTTCTAAAAGGTGCGTAACGTAAGTACTTTACGCGCGGTAGTGGAAAAAATATATTTTAAGTATTTTGAGTACATGCCCATCAGTATTTGAATTACTTTTTTTCGTAAATCCAAGTAGGTACCATTGGTACCAAATACAAATAATGTATTTAATGTATTTGAATAATTATAGTACTTCAAATACCTACTAAAAAGTAATTGAAATACATTTTCCAAGTAATTTACTTGAAGTACTGACAGCTCTGCCTGTCAATAAATGATCGATTATCAAGACTCTAGAGCCTAATAGTAGACATAATAAATAAAGTTGCCTCGCGCTCTCTATCAAAAACAAAAACAAATCCTTCACATAATGTCACACAAGAACTTTTTACTTTGCCTCGGTATTTTAGTTGTTCATTCAAACCGGTGGTAATCTACAACCAATCTCAGACTAACGGTCTGTCTGTTTCCTGGCAATATCAATAGAGTGCAGTGGGCGCCCAATGCGCGCGTTGGCAGCGACGTATCGCCTAGCATTTAGCATCGGCAAATGGTAAAATAACGTAGCGGTAGCACGTGTATTTAAACGAAAATCGGCAAATATCCTTATTGTTCGTTCCCCGGATTGCTTTTGTGAAAAAATCAGTGATCATATGCCATTAGAAAATCTACCAGAGTCAAGGTTAGGTCATATTTTGTCAAATCGATTGAACTTCAAACAAACAACGCAACGCTGTAGAGGCAAATGCCACATGTTTAAATGCGTAGCGTTGTTGCCGGCTTGTCGAGATCGTCTTTCAAAAGTTTTAAATATTTCCTTGTTGGGGCCCTTTTTAGAAAACATCTTAATAATTATCCCAATGCGTTATCGATATTATTTAATATAAATATGACAGAATTTGCCGAAAAGTCGATTAACACAGACATAAGTTTTGACAATAAATGTGAAGATTTAAATATAAAACCGGAGGATCTACAAGAGGAGGAACCACTACCAAAAAAGGTATGAATGATGGACATGATGGTAAATACTAAATATATACGCTGCAGGAAAAATGGCGCAATCTGCCAGACAATATAGTTATTTGTGTGTCATTAGGCCAAAAAGTGAGTTTTTTGTGCTGATCTCAAAACTTCAATACTTGGGGTTTAACCCTCGTTTAACCTATACAAAATAATCCAGTCCCACCTATAAAAAATTAAAAATTTAAAATACAAAAGATACTATGTATAAGCCGAGGTATAAGCATTGTATAAACAGAGAGTGTTTATACAATGGTAGGTATGGTATGGTCAATGGTGGTACACTATTTTTGTTCTTACAGACACCGACACCTAATAAATAGATATGTCGATATGTGCGCAATTTGCTTGAGGCTTGGCACTAAAATTTGGAAAATTTCCAAAAAAGAAAAGAAAAACTTTGGAAAACTCATCACAGCTCCTGGAACTGGAAACTTTCTTACCTGGTTTTGTTATCCTGACATTGAGAATTATCTATTCTGAAAACATGTCAATGAAAAACTGATCTATCTTTTCTACTTCTGCAGGATGGAGTATTTTTTAATTAAATTATAAGTTTTCATTATAGAGAAAGGGTTGTAAACTTCTTCTATACTTATATATTTACCTATACTTAGATAGGGTTCAACCGTTCAACAAGGGGTTTGAAAAGTTTTTTCAAGTTTGTATAAGTTGGTATAAGTTTTGTTACTTTGATGTATTATTGTTAACTATTTTTATTACGAGGTTTATTACTTTTAGGCAATATTTAGATATATGTATAGCATTTGAATATATGTATCACCTACATTCAGGTACATTACATATAGACTAATGTAATTAGGTACCCACCTATTTGCATAAACTTCACTATACTACCTAAATAGGTAGATTATTCTTGAAATAATTCTCCAAAAATACTTGTTTTTTATTTATTTATAGTAAAATTATTTTATTGACTAGAAAATAGATTTCTTTCCTAATTACTTTGCGACAAAGATCTACATAGAAAGCATTGTTGGAATCCAAATACCTAACGACAATTCCAATCCAATCCTCTATTCTAGACAAAGCTTTATAAAAGCGCCGTTGGTGTCATTCCGTTTCGTTTCGCTTTTTCGGGCGAATTAGACCAGCTGCAAAGTTACCTAATGAAGTAAAACTTTTAATCCCCTTTAATTAATAAGTTGTACCATGCCAGACACATAATGCACCATTATTATTAATAAAGTTTGGATTATAAAATGGAAACAGGAAAATCCGGCCTTTGCACGCTAATTTTAAACGGAAGCCGTTTTGTTTCATTTACAAAAGATTAGGTATTTTTGTTGCCTATTTAATTTCAATTAAAATACAATAAAAACTTGAATATGTTAGTATTTAAAATCATACGTAAAAAGGGGGAAAGATACAAAGCTTCTGTTACTGGGATTCTAGTAAGTATCTTTTTTTGCTTGGACACCCTTTAGACCCCTATAATCATATGGCAAATTTTGTTTCTTTAGAATTGTCCGTCTTATGAGACAAAATAAAACTTCTCTGCCCACATATCTAGTTAATAAATCATCAAAAGGATACACAATCGGCTTTTGCCTGTAGGATATTGGTGTCCCAGTTTATATCCGACCCCAAGGAATTGGCCTTTGTGTGGTATGAACTCATATGTTTTCCTTGCGATGTTGGCAAATAGTTGAAACAAGCAGCCTCTGGTATCACAATTGGGGTTAAATTCCACTCTGTAAATCCCAGTGAAACTTAAGTATCTGGACAAAATAATATTATATTTGTACAAGGGATTATATGAATCAATTTAAACCTAAATATAAAACCATCATACATATAAACATACATGGCGCTGTTTCTCAGAATATTATTATAAATTATTCTGGCAACGTAATGTTAGAAACGGGGGCGCAAAACCTGTTAAACCCCCATAAATTTGCAACTGACTCGTCCATAAATATCTTTTTCTGTCCGGCACTAAGTCGTTTTGTTTTATTTTCCAGGCGAAACTTGAAACCAAAGCTCTCAAAGCCAAGCGGCCCGGTTTCACTGACGATCGCTACAACGAAACTTCGTATTACATTGAAAATGGTAAGTCCCTTGTGTCTTTAGTTCCTTGTTTTCCTTCGACTACCTAAATGCATTTTACAGCTACATAGTGTTATAGTTTTCTGAACTATTTTGTAGAATAATTAATAATTTATAATATGACTAAATTAACTGAGTAGGAAACTTTCGTTCATGTAACACTACTTGAAATTGATGGACAGTCAAGGTTCAAATGTATAATACAGAATCCACTTTGGACTTCAATCAAATTAGATTACATACTCAGCTAATTTTGTTAGGTTGTTGTTGTTAATTTTTGACCAAAATCCTTAATTGTATAAAGTCAAGTAACAAACTCAAAACAATAATTCGACCCTAGTTTACATTTTGAAAAAAACAGTAAATAATTTTTACTTTCAATAGGTCTCCGAAAAGTCTACCCATACTACTTCACTTTCACGACATTCACCAAAGGCCGATGGGTGGGCGAAAGAATTCTGGACGTTTTCGCCAGAGAGTTCAGAGCGCATCCAGCCGAAGAATATGAACGTTGCATCCAGGCTGGAACGTTGACAGTAAACTACGAAAAAGTTCCTACTGATTACAAGTTGAAACATAATGATTTACTTGCCAATATAGTGCACAGGTGAGATTTCAGCTAGTTTTCCAATCAAAAAGCATTAGCTGCTTTAAATGAGTCAAGAACTGTTTGTAAATCATATAAAGGTGTTTCAATAATGTCTTTATTGGAGACGGCCTAGGAGGAATTCCCTAGACAGACGTCTTTGCTCGTAATGTAGTTGGTAGTTGCACTTAAACTATAACCTAATAAAAATAACCATCAAGGGATCAAGCAAATCAACTAGAAAGCGAATCACAGAGCTGCTAAATTGCTTGAATTATTCAAATTACAGTCTTCTCTTGAGGGAACAATAGGGTCGGCTTTTAGAGATTAGAAGACATAAATGTCCATTATTTCTGTCAAGTATTATCCATAAGCTTGAGAGCTTAGAAAGACACGAATTGAATTTCAACACACCTTTATTTTAGTATATCTAGAAGAAAAAAAATTCAATTTGATCAACTAAGAAATTAGGCATTAAAAATCAAACTCCCAAAAGGGTTCAAATACCCAGTTCTGATAGAGAAAATTGAGAATAGAAAGTTATAAGTAGAAGTCCAGTAAATTTATGCAAGATTATAGTTGTTCTTCGAGTGTTCAACATTTTAGATTTTGTTTAAATTCGCCATAAAAACTGTTATTGACTCATTTCCAATCCAAACCTATAGTTACCTAAGTAAAAACCTTTTACAGTAAATCTGGTTACTTATTGTTGAATAATTTAGATTTTTCCACAACTTTTAACACAAAGTCAAACAACAACAAATCTTATGTAAATAGGTATCAATTTTTTTTTTAATGTAACTTACATTTTTAAAATGATTTTTCTTAATAAATAGAGTTAAATCAAAAAGCTAACTAATTTAGAATAACAATAGTACTTAGATGTAGAATTATGTCAAAGTAAGCAAACCCCAGTTGTGGTACGACTTAAAGCAATAAGTGTATGTTGCAGACACGAAGTACCAGTCACTAGCCAAGCGATCACCATTGTACATATGGACGAGGACGTTGTGGTGGTCAACAAACCCGCTTCGATTCCTGTAAGTGGCCAATAGACTGCCATCTGTATTATCTACAAGATTTTAGTCTGTCTGTAGACCTGTTTTGTTTGTGTCTGTATTTTGCTTTTATGTATTTGTATTTATTCAGGCATGCCGTAGTTTCCTAGAAAGTTAATTAAAAAATAATTGGAAAAATGCCTTTCTGTATTCTTAGGAACTGGCAAATACACCACAGTTTTTTAGAAGAAAAAAGTAATTCGCTGTAAAGGTAATTATTAGCTTTCTGAGAAGTTACAAGGCATAAAAGCTTATTTGGTTCCTTTTTATGTTGCTTTCATAATAATTAACAAGCATGAATCTAGGTTTTTTTTCGCAATCTTAGTAATTTGTCGAAGATTTTGTCAATATCATTAATCTTACCCTTAACACATCCCGAATGTAATCTGCATAAGCACCAAAGTAGCATATATTGGGGTATTTAATTTCTGTTATAGTTGTAGGTTGTAGCACAACACTCACCTCCACAAACATCCAACTAACAACCCAACACATGAAAAATGATTTTTATTTAGCAAAATCGTAAACTAGACGATTTTTTTTTTTTTTGTTTTTCTATATTTTTGTCGATGGTGGTTACAACAGACACGAGACCCCCGTACTCTCACACCCCATCAAGTTACTATACGTAGACGAAGACATTGTTGTTTTGGACAAACCGTGTTCACTTCCGGTGAGTAGTTATTAACACTCTGAGCCGATCAACTTAACTTATGTACAACTATAATATGCTTCAGAGTGAACAGTAAAATTAATTTGGGTCATGATTTAATTTGTTTGGATAACATAATAATCAATTTTCTATTTGTGTTGTTTTTCTTTGCAACATATCACAGTCACAGCTTGACTAGCATCTGCAATCTTTGTTCACTGAAGCATATAAAATCTTTTAAAAAAGTGACGAGCACTGATAAAAATGCCAAGAGTTTCTGGCGGTGTATGTAGAATTTTTTTCCCCTAGTTCATCCATTTGAATTGGCTGACAAGGGAAGAAAGTAATGTAAACCATCAATTTACTAATTTTTTTCTCACTAACTATTGGGTGTTTGTTTTTTAAAAATTACTTTTCGCATGTTTAAGTTACACTCATTAGTGTAAGTACGCTTTGCTTTATTTTATTAAAACAATTTTGATCTAAACAAAAAATCCTTTTTTTTTTTCAGCAAAAATATATATATTTTGTTTAAAAACAGTTTTTAAATATGTATTTACTGTGAATTTCTAGGTTCATCCTTGTGGCAGGTACCGACACAATACTGTAGTTTTTATCCTGGCCAAAGAATATAATCTAAAAAACCTCAGGACTATTCACAGACTGGACCGATTGACCAGCGGTCTTTTGTTGTTTGGTCGATCGCCGAAAAAAGCCAGACAAATGGAACATCAGATTCGAAACAGACTTGTGTCCAAGGAGTACATGTGTAGAGTGGAAGGAGAATTTCCAGAGTTAGTATATTAATTTTATATTTGAAGCTTAACAATGTCAAACACATTCTACGAAATAGTTTAAAAAGACCTTCCAGAGGGCTTCTTAAAATAAAATCAATAATGTCATGCATGCACTTAAAGTTTATAATAGCTTGCTGGAAAACATTAAAACCCTTTAGGGTGCTTGAGTTTCACAGAGAGCATTGAGGCTTTCGCTGATGTTTGCATTATTCCTGTAAATTTAAACACATGTAGGTATTTTCCTTTTCATAGAGAATTACAGAAATCTTGTTTACTAATTTTCAACGCCTCTCATAAGATCAATTATTGAATAGCCCCAAAAAAAAAGTAATATATTTTTTATTGTTCCTGAGGAAAGTAAGGGGAATAAAAAAAAAAGGGCGAAAACATGTTTTTATTGCTCTATAATATTTCTCGTCTTCCCATTTTAATTTCCAGTTTTATTCTAGAGGCGTTGTGGAATGCAAAGAGCCCATTGAAGTTGTCAGCTATAAAATAGGTGTTTGCAAAGTGTCGCCGAAAGGAAAAGATTGTAGCACTGTTTTTCAAAAATTAGGTTTCAATGGCAAAACTAGTATTGTTTTGTGTAAACCGAAAACTGGAAGAATGCACCAAATACGCGTACATTTACAATATCTAGGTAATAACGTTTTATCATTCATAAGTTTATGTATAATTTAAACATTTTTTTATACATCAGGTTATCCAGTAGTTAATGATCCTCTATACAACCATGAGGTATTTGGACCACTAAAAGGAAAAGGTGGAGATTTGGGCGGTAAATCGGACGAGGAACTTGTCAGAGATCTAATTCACATTCACAATGCCGAAAATTGGCTTGGAATGGATGGCGACAGTGAATTATCGATATTTAATTCTAGAAAGGGCGAGCTAGAGGATTCACTGGGTGGAAACATTCCAAAAGGTGAATAAATATTTGTATTATGTTAACTATGTATGGCAATTAAAATTGTTAATTATTAAGATGATGATGTCGACTCAGTTTCTCGTGAACCATCTCCCTGTGACGAAACGTGTGACAGTAGATCTTCCCCACCTGCTTGTGAATCCACGCCGAATCCTTTGACAATGAGTCGTTTTGGTAATCAGAGAGTACACGATGCAAAAGTAGGAATTGTTTGTACTTAGTTTTTGAGGAAAATAATGAATTGATTAACTTTAGGTCACAGTGGCAACCCAAACAGGACACGAAGTGCCCGATTTTGCGTTCAACCCTGATAAAATGACGGTGGATCATCACTGTTATGAGTGTAAAGTTAGATATCGTGATCCCAAACCGCAGGATTTGGTTATGTACTTGCACGCCTGGAAATACAGAGTAAGTAGAATTAACTTTAGAAACATTTTCTGCGCTATTGTTCCGGCAACTGATAACGTTTTAATATGGTTTAATTAGAGATAGAAGAGAAACAAAATTGCCACAATTTGATCCCATTATAGGTATACTGGCTTTGACACTAAAGACCAGAAAATGTATTTTAACTTTATATACACCATTATTATTCAATCTCAATTTTTTATTCCTGATTTCTGATTAAAATAATAATTAACAAATCACACTTTCCAATTTTCGATATTTCAATGTACTTAAGAAAAATCTTACAAAATTATTTCAATCAATCCCGGACCTCCACGACAAATATCTGTGAATCTGGGATACTCAGTAATACCGGCCCGAAGGGCCGGAGTTATACGCGAGCCCGAAGGGCCGGAGTTATACGCGAGCCCGAAGGACCGGAGTTATATGCGAGCCCGAAGGATAATTTAGAGCTAATTAAAAACCGGGAGTATTTAAAATGCGATTAAATGGTGGTTTTTGCAAACATATACTACTTTATCATTGTCTTTGTCTTACTCACTATAATCAATAAGGAAACCTTGTAATGTCATTTCCATTAAAATTAAACTAAAAACAAGTTTCCTATGATTTATTTGGGGAATTTTAATTATTATAATCATTATTAATTAATTATTAAATTGAATTTTAAACAAAAAACCCTTTTAAAATGTTATTTTTGTTTTCCGAAATGAGATGTGGCAACGTTGCTTTTAGTTGGCCATTCTAAAGTGAGGCCTTGTAATTTTTTGCCAGTTTTTCCTCGAATTTTTTACTTTTCCGGGGCTTTTCAATGGAAAAAGGCAATTTAACATACGAGGCTTTGAGTTTTCTTCATTTTCTAGCAAAAATGTCCAGTTTTAAAAGGACATAAATAACAAAATCCCATTTAGAATGGTTTTTTAAAAAGTTTTGATGTGGCAACACCGTTTGTATCGGGACTTCAAAAAAAAAAACCAATCGAAGATTGCTTTGATTACGAAAACGTACGTCGCATTACTGTTTTTTTATTGGTCAGGATTTTTGACATAACATTTTGACATTAAAGTTCATTGACAAAATTAAAAAAACATATTGCTAAGACATTCGTTTGAAAAACCATAGCAATCTTTGATTGTTTTTTTTTTGAAGACCCGATACCAACTTCAAATAGGTTTTGTGATAAATTTCATTTGCCAGTTTTGACAGTCAGCAATTTTTAATTGACGTGTTCATATTTCTATCCAGTTTTTCCTCGAATTTTCCACTTTTCCAAGCCGTTTTCAGTCAAGAAAACCGATTTGAAATACGAGGCTTTGAATTTCCTACATTTTGTGTTAAAAATTCCCAGTTTTCCAATGGGGTAAGTGACAAAAACTCAAGTTTCATTAAGTAGGCTTTAAAATGTCATTTTTAGAAGTTTTTATTTGAATTTTTCCGCTTTTCCAGGGCTTTTCTGGTCGGAAAAACCGATTTAAAGTACGAGACTTTGAGTTTTCTTCATTTTCCACCAAAAATTTCCAGTGTTTGGAATTTTTATTTAAGGGATTTGGGGTCCGGGGATTGTTTTCTATCACTTTTTTTCTCGAAATTCGCAAAATAAAAAAAAAAACTTTTTTGACGTTGACAGCTGTCAATTTTTTTTGACACAAATGGATAGTTAGCGTCGCGAGACTGCCTTGTACCGGAGTTTGATTCTCGTAGCTTTTATAGTAGAGCGGAGAAAAAGTCGAACATGTGTCAAATTTGACAGATGACATTTGTCGATATTGCCAAAGTGTCGTGCGACAAAAGTTTTATCCGAACGAACCCGTTCATTGTTAACTGATTTTTCATACTCCGTAATCTTTGAAACAAAAAGACGCCATTTTATATCGACTGTCAAAAAACCCAAGGTTTGAAATTTCAATTTTTTGACGTTTGTTGTATCATGTGCCAGTTGCCATATGTTTTTCTTTCAAATCTCGAGCTCAAAGGGCCGAAATTATAGATTATTTTAAAGCCAATCAAGAGCCGAGAATAAACAAAATTTGAATCCCCAAACCAATCAGGAGCCGGGAAAATTCAAAAGTTCGAATTCCAAACCCGAAGGGAAATTGAATTTTTTGTAGCAACTGTTGCTACATGTTGTTACATAAATCTCTCCCTAAAACCCACTAAAAAACGACCTTTGTTTTTTGGGAAAAACAAAAGATTTTTTTTTTTGAGATTGACAGCTGTCAAAACTTTAATGGGCATATAGATTTAGCCTCGGCGAATACGTAGGAAGTACCAATTTTTTTTTTTAACATATGTCAAAAAAGACGTTCGGCGTTGCCAAGCGGTTGGTTTTTGACATATATGGATGAAACTTCTTATTTTAGGGTTTTTGGAGCTTAGGGATCGTTTTCTGACATTTGTTTTTTAAAAAAAAGAAAAGGTAAAAATTGTTGACATTGACAGTCAAAATTAAAAAAAAAAAAACTACATGGGCATATAGATTTAGCCTCGGCGAATACGTAAAAAGTAGCCAAACAGGGCCAATTTTTTGACGTTTGTTGTATTATAAGCAGTGTTGCCATATGTTTTTTTTTCGAATCTCGATTCTGGAAGGCTGAAGTTATCTCAATTATGAGCTCAAAGGGTCGAAGTTATACGAGTCCGAAGGGCCGGAATCATGCGTACCCAAAGGGCCGGAGTTATACGAACCCGTTCATTGTCAACTGATTTTAATACTTCGACTCTTCGGATCGTAATCTTTGAAACAAAAAGACGCCATTTTATATCCACTGTCAAAAAAAACCAAGGCCTACTTTGATATTTCAATTATTTGACGTTTGTTGTATTATGAGCAGCGTTGCCATATGTTTTTATCAAATCTCGATTTATAGGTTATTTTAAACCCAATCATTGACATTTCTGAAAAATATTTCCTTTTAAATTCCCAAATATCCTTTGGAATCCCCAAAAATGTATTAAAATCTCAGAATTCCATAATTTAGTGGAATTTCGGTAGAATAATTATGTTATTCTGAAAAAGGAATTAGATGTGAAATTTTTTCGGAGTTTCCATAGAATTCACATTAAATTTTATTCCCCTCGAATTACTTGAAATTTCAGTAAAATTCTGATCGAATTACACGAAATCCTAAATGAATTACATGGAGGAATTTTAAACAAATTAAATTACACCGAAATTCCCAACATGAAATTTCAGTTTTTACTGAATTTTAGTAATACCGAGGAATTTCCAACTAAAAACATGGAATTTTGGTGATATTCCAGTGAAATTCCGAAAAATTCTTATGAAAATAAATTAAATTTTGAAAATTCCTTGAAGTTTCATTGGACTTTCGAGAAATTTTCCGTTATGAACGTGGATATTCTCATAACATTTTAGTGAATTCCGAGAAATTTTTGAGAAATTACATGAAATGTCAATGAAATTCCAAAGAATTTTATGAAAATTTTGTGGAATTCCAGGATATTTCAGTGGTAAAATTTTGAGGCATTTTAGTAAAGTTAAAAAAAAAAATATGGAATTTTGAAATTGAAATCTTAATGGAATTCCGAGGAATTTCATATCCTATACTGTAATTAGCCTCCTCACTTGAAATAGTCACGAGCCGCCACCGACTATACACTCTGACAAAAATTACTTCAATAATCAACTTAAACAACTGAATATTACCTTGCATTTGGGATTTACACCTCAATTGAAATTATTTTCAGAAGTTTCTTGATTCGTATTTGTAATTCGTATCAAGATCAAGAAACTTCTGGTAATAATTTCAATTGAGGTGTAAGTCCCAAAAAATGCAAGGTAATATTATAAATCCACCTCAAACAAAACAACTGAATTCTTTACAATTCTCAACAATAAGCACTATCTAAATCATATCACAGTCAAACTTAAACAACTACTAACTGATACCGGCCTTTATATATTCGTAAATCTATTCATGTAAAATTTAGAATATCCGCGATAATCCCATACCCGAGAAAAAGCAGACTTTTTCTTGAATTTCAGCATGTATTCTGGATACTATGGCAAAAGCGCATCATAATTTGTATCAATATTATTTTTATGTATTCATACAGTATAAATATGAGGAAAATAATTATTGGGAAAAATCCATCAAATTACTACTAATATTATCTTCTTTCTTTTCAGGGTCCAGGTTGGGAGTTCGAAACCGAACTTCCTGATTGGGCGAGAATCGACTGGGTCGACCCTGACATATCTGAGTGATACTGATAATTACTTTTCTGTTTTCTCTATATTATTACCTAAGGCATCTCTTATCCGCTCTGTCTTTCCATTTGCTCTTAGAATTTAACCACAAAGTCGGCAATCGGTCAAGCAAACATTGTACACTTGTTTGTTTATTTTGTTCATCATGATTCGATGCAAAAATAAAGTGAACAAAAACTAGAATGGAATTTCATATTGATAAGGCTGCATAGAGTTGTTATACAATCTTGTCCTCATTATTGTGGTATGTTTTCTTTACAATAACCTTGAAAATACCTGTATTAGCTGATATTTCTACCCTACAAGTGCTTTTAAAAAAGACCCTTAAATTTTAGGTGCAATTAATTTCCATGGAAATAGGTTTTCTTGCTTGACCTCCATTCGCCGACTTATGTAAATGGGGATGTTTTCCCATAAAAGGCAGGGTCCAATAACAATCACTGGCGACAGAACATACAATATATTTACTTTATGCGTTTTCTTTTCTATAGTGCTAGTAGGTATGAGAATGTGCATTTTTTTCCTTTGAATAAAGGTGTGCAGTAAATAGGAAATTTGCATTAAATAGTCTGACATTTTCTTTTATGGTGGAAAATACAATTTTATCAGAGTTGGATTTTTTATAAAACAATAATTAAAAATCCAAGAATGTATTAGCATGTACTTTTTTTACATCTCCTTTTTTTTTAATCGCATTTCACATTTGATTAGTAGTTCATAATCTAGTATAAAGTCCCAAATTTGCTACACACCATTCTATTGTAATATTAAGAACAAAATCATAAATTAGCAATTATTTGTTGTATTTCAGTGCTGCAAATAATTTTACAAGATCCATTTTAGTGACTGTAAGAAAATTAAAAAAAAAACATCAATCAAAAAAAAAAAAGTATTTTTATAATGTACCTATTATGTAAAAAAAAAATCATCTTTTTATCTAATGGTTAAGTGCTATAGTTAATTATTGGTCTTAGGATTCTAGCATTTCAAGTCATCATAGTGTTTATTGATTGGCTTTTCAGGAATATTTAATAAATACTTTTGCAAATCAAACATTTTTATTTCCAATGTTTAAAATTCAAAAACAGGCAAAAGTTTAACTTTTGTATTTTGAACATAGTTTTCCTGAGAAGCTAGATAAAAACTTCTCACCTAAAAATAAATTAAAATAAAGTACTGGAATACATATTGTGCCTTGGATGTGTATTGTGACATCATTATTTGCAGATGTAAAAAATAAATGATAAAGAAAAAGTATATCCATGTTTTCATATCAGCTGCAGCTTCGGACCCTTGCTTTAGTGTGAATTGATGTATGTAATTAGGTGCAAAAAAAAAGGTCTCTAGACGGGAGCTAGACATTTCAATACAGTCCCAGGATAAATGAAAAAATTGTGATAAGACTTTGGGGATTAACAAATATGTATTACAAAAAAAAATAAAAAATATTTTGAATTTATTAACATTTTCATTGTATTGATGTTTTAGCTCAGTTGCGAGACGGAAAATTTATTGTTATATTTGGTATTTAGGGTATACTTGTAAGCACTGACTCGGATTGTTATAATTATATTATGAGAAAACTGTTTTTGTTAGTACGTTATGTAGTTTTAAATAAATTTTTGTTGAATACATACTAGGTTTTATAAACCGTAGAAAAATGAAATAGATACCTACATACAATAGTTAATTTAAGTAAATAATATTTCGAAAAAGACAAGATTTTTTTGTGATATATTTAGTTAATTCATGCTTTTTAATGTATTAACTTTATCATATCAACTCTTCCAGTGTGTATTAATCAAAAAAAGCTTTCAGCTAAATAAAGCATTTACATATTTCACAGTAAATCTTAATTATTATGGTCAAACTCACAGTCTTATATTTCCATAATATAAAAACGTGAATTAATAATTGGTCCCTTAATACTGTTGTTAACTAGTTAACTGCGCTTGTTAAAATTTTACTAACAAATAATAATGAAAATCACATTATCACAATTTCCTTTTGCATAGTGTGGCACAAAAAAAATAACACTATTGTTTTCGAGTAAGCAGTATTAGATTTTATTATTTAAAAAGACATGAAACATTCAGACAATAAAGAATTTAGTTTTTTTTTGCATTTGATTTATTGTTAAATGACAAGAACGTATTGTTATCTTAATTATAATTAAAGGATTGTTGATTAATTATTATAATTTTTGGATCCCAGAAATATGTATTTTGGTCAGTGCTTTAGGAATTTAGGATTCATGTTTTACTTTATCAACTTGAAATTTGTGTTTCAAGAATTGACCATACCTACTTCAACTCCCTTTTAGTACTTGCGCTTTTCTATTTCTGTCAGTAAGCTGATTCTAGTTGTGTTTATTTCATGTGCATAATATTATTATTATACCAAATGTCTTGTACGAGTCAGTATGGTCAGTTTTAGTTTTATATTATTTGTGAATTATTATTATTACGATAAAATAGAGATGTAAGCCTTGTAACAGTACATAATGTAAAAAAATTGTTTACAAATAAAAGCCGTTAAAATATATATTTGTTGTTGTTTTTCTCAAATTTAAAAATTACCTATTTCTATTCAATGGTGCTACTAGTGTTTACTTTTTCAAATGAAAATTGTCTATGTTAACGTCCTAAAGACTTCTATAACGCTGTGTACAGTCCTTAGACACTTACGTAAGATACCACCCCTTGTTTACCTTTGCCGTGTTGTCTGTGCGCCAGAAATCTAGAACTCTAGACAAAAAGGTGCATAACGACGTGATAACGACACATTTTCCAACATTTCCTTTTGTCAAAATAATTAGATAATTTTTTATGTAAATTTGAATGTCCCCCAGGGCCAGTATTCTCGTTCTCGAAAACGCTTACCGCTTTCTAGTCGCTCGGCACTTTTAATGTAAATTCGCATAGAAAGTGCCAAGCGGCTAGAAAGCGGTGAACCTTTCCGAGAACGAGAATACCGGCCCAGGACTCCCAGGAGAATAACATTTTGGATTACTAAGAATGAAACACTAATATTGTTTAAATTACTTTTTTATTTAACAATGATTCGTGAATGAAACAATACAAAAAATTATTTCTAGTTGGTGCCTAGGCAATTTTACACACTCACATGTAATAATTCTATTAGCATTTGTAATTTTAGTCTTTTTTTGAATGTTCTGGTTTGCCAATAGAAAAATCTAGTCTCACGTAAATAATTACAATGGCAAAAATAAGGAACAAAGCAAGAGAGACTAAGATTGGTTCGTGGAGCAGCATATGCGTCTTCCATGTATAAGTAATTTCAATGTCTTGGATATGTTGCTCTACTAAGTTAGTTTTGGAAGCTCGGATGACAGTCCTAGAAAATTAGATTTTTAATGGAAGTTTACAATAATATAGCTATTTACCTAACAAGTGCAAAAAATGAATTTTGCCGCACGTGGCTGCCGTTCACCGAACGACGCGTAACGGAATTCGGTAAAGCAGCCGAGTGCGGAAATAGTTATTTTCCTAACAAGTGCGCAAAGTGTTACTTTTCCGCACGCAAACACAGTTATACGAACGACACGAAGCGGAGTTCGGATAAGTGTTTGCGGGCGGAAAAGACACTTTGCGCACGCGTTAGGAACAAAATTTTTCCTACTAGCTTCATATCAGGTGAAAAGTTACTTTTCACGCTAAAATAAAAATGACACTTCTACTGAATTTCTGTTTTGCAAGTAACTCTGAGTGCATTCAATGTACGTACCAAAATAGTTCGATTTTCCGCACTGATATGCGTGCGGAAAATGAGTTTTCCCGCACGGTGCGGTAAAACTTTTACCGCACGCATATCAGTGCACTGATATGTCGAAAAAAAAAAAAAAAAAATTACATTTTTACGCCTGTAGAAAAAATATTGTACCTAACACCTAACACTTGCGGAAAATATATTTCATCGGCTGCTTCACCGAACACCGCTACGCGTCGTTCGGTAAACGGCAGCCGCGTGCGGAAAAATTCATTTTCCGCACTTGTTAGGTAAATAGCTATTTCGCAGTCATAGTATAGTATGTAACGCGTGTGAAAAGTGCTATTTTCAACACTTGTTGCACAATATACTATTTCCGCACTGATATGCGTGCGGTGAAAGTTTTACCGCACCGTGCGGGAAAACTCATTTTTCGTACGGATATCAGTGCGGAAAATCGATTTTTCCGCACGGCTGTAGGAAAAATACTTTGTTACCTTCCAATGTTGTCCAAATATTTATAAGTGACTCCGTCAGGTAGCCTCTTCACTTCGTATGGTGTTTTGACTTTTATATCTGAAACTCCTACAGGTAAAACAATGCGAGTTTCCAATTCGTCTACAGCCATATCATCAAAAAGATGATCTAGCAGGCGTACTTTTAGTGTAAATTCTCCTGATGATTTTCTAAAGAGGTAGGGATAACTTGGTATACTGTAGCCTGAGAAAAATATTTATAAATTAAGAAAATAATGATTAGCAAATGTAGCAACTTACCTAAAACATATGAGCTTTGCCAACCTCCAAACAAGGGAAATCTAGGTTTCAATTCCAATTCAATATATTCTTTACGGGGCTTCACACTTGAAGTTGAAATATTTCCATTCATGTCCCTTAAAAATGTGAATATTAAAGCTCTGTTTCATTTGCGTGAGGGGGAAAAGTTGGAAAAGCGCGATACGAAAAGCTTGACGGACAAATGCGCGACAGGACTAAAGCTTGATTGACAAAAACGCGACTGGACAAAAGCGCGAGGAAGAAAAGCACGAGAGACAAAAGCGCGACGGAACAAAAATGCAACTGAATAATGCGCGATGGACAAAAACACGACTAGACAAAAGCGCGAAGAGCAAAAGCGCGAGGGACAAAAGCGCGACCGAACAAAAACACGACTGGAATATTAGTGTGATGGGCAAAAACTCGACTGTATAGAAGCGCGAGAAACAAAAGCGCGACGGTTGGTTTTCAATTTTAATCAGACAATTCCAAACTTACCGATAATAACCCGGTTAGTTTGCAATTTTAATCAGACATTACCAAACTTACCGATAATCATCTGGAGTTTGCAATTTTAATCAGACATTACCAAACTTACCGATAATAACCCGGTTAGTTTGCAGTTTTAATCAGACACTACCAAACTTACCGATAATAACCCGGTTAGTTTGGGTTGGTTTGCAATTTTCGTCAGACATTACCAAACTCACCGATAATAATTCGGCAGGGATGAGGGGATGACCAAAGTTCAGGCGCGCAGGTTATTATCGGTAAGGTTGGAAATGTCTGAATAAAACGGCAAACTAACCGGTTATTATGGGTAAGTTTGGAAATGTCTGACTAAAGTTGCAAGCTAACTGGGCTATTATCGGTAAGTTTGGAAATGTCTGACAAAAATTGCAAACTTACCAGGTTATTATGGGTAAGTTTGGAAATGTCTGATTAAAATTGAAAATTAACCGGGTTATTATCGGTAAGTTTGATATTGTTGTGTTTTTGTCTTTCGCGCTTTTATCCAGTCGCATTTTTGTCCATCGTGCTTTTGTCCAGTCACGTTTTTGTTCCGTCGCGCTTTTGTCCCTCGCTTTTTTTGCGTCGCGCTTTTGTCCCTCGCGCTTTTGTTCCTCGCGTTTTTGTCCAATCGCGTTTTTGTTCATCGCGTTTTTCCAGTCGCGTTTTTGTTTCATCGCGCTTTCGTCCCTCGCGTTTTTGTTCCTCGCGCTTTCGTCCAGTCGCGTTTTTGTTCAGTTGCGCTTTAGTCCCTCGCGCTTTTCGTATGGCGCTTTTCTCCCTCGCGCAAATGATACAGAGCCGAATATTAATTCAATAAATTCAAACCTCAACCTCATACTTTAATAATCTCAGTCTTGTAAATCCTATTCACAATCCTTAGTCCAAAGGTAAAGGTAAATTTATCACCTTTTCCTATCAAAGGAATAAGTTGTTATTATTTATTGTGAATACATATTATAATAGTATTATGTATATTTATGTTATACTACTGATAATAAATAAAATAAATAAATAAATAAAATAGCATTGAAAGGTGATAAATTTTACATTTACTTTTGGACATCGGATTGTAAATAGATATTAAATAATTATTTCTTTGTAGGAAAATTATTGTCTAATTTCCTGTTACCTGTAGTAGATGCTATGAGCCAAAGCAGGCAAAATTGTTCTGTAACTCCTAATACTATGATGATTGGCGGTAGTTTCCCTTTGATAATCATATCTGGAAAATGGTCCCTTCAATTTAGCACCAGTATGTCTGATTTCAATGCTTTCTTCAACAGCAATATTACCCCAGTGTGAAATTTCAATTGTCCTTTCCAACCTTAACATAATACAAAATATTATTTACTGTATTACATACAATAAAGTAGTTCATACTTAGTTACTGTTAAAAATGGAGCATTGTTTTCATAGTGCACAGTAAGTGGATCTACAGAGAAGGCAGCAATATTTTCATAAGGACCATAACTTAAAGTAGAATCGGTTTGACTGACTGGCTTCAGTTTAGAATAACTTTCTACGGCTCTTGAATTAACCTTGAATAAGAATCGTGGAAATAATTACATATTAAATTAATATTTAACTTACTGAAACTTCTGTCTTTTGACTACGAGTGGTATAAGGCGAGTAAAAGTAGTGGTTTCCAAAGTATCTGACCAGCTGCTTCTCCTTCTGCGTAATACTAGTTGGGTATGGTGTGAGGGCTTTTGTGAGGACAATTTCGAAAATGATTGTGGTTGTCTTTCCTGGTTCTATACTTTGTCTCAGTTGAACGTTGTAGAAGAGTTCATTAGTACCTGAAGATAAGACATATAAAATAACTTTAATTAGTCCCAATTTGAGTTAGTTTTGTTCTTTTTTGTTCCAGAACTCAATAATAATAATAATAAACATCTTTATTATGCAAATTCATAAATTTTGAATTATATGTAGTGTTGCAAAATGCTCGAGAATTTATTTTTGGAGAACGTTCTCCGAGCACGAACGAGAATGAACAAGAATAATGAGTATGAAAGAAAAAAAGTAATGGGAAATAATAAAAAATATTATATTCGGTAGGTCTATCGATTTTAACACAAAAAACTTAAAAATTAAATATTACACTTTTTTCTGGACATTTTCAATAAAAAGTGAACACTATACTAATAAGTCTGTTCGCACAAAACTTGAAAACTAGCCAGAGTGAATTTCATTGGTTGAAACTAGTTTTCTGATTATTTCTGACTGTTTTCAACCAATGAAATTTGCTCTAACTGGTTTGTGATTTCTGTGCGAACAGACCTAGTTAAGTACACGCTTTAAATTGAATACCAAATGAAAAACCGGCAAATGGGTTTAAAAAAAATTAGCATGTGAATCCCTGAAACAAAACCCTGGTGGTCGGCTGTCGACTGTCAGGAATTTTTCTCAATCCTCGGACCCCATTGTTAGAAAATAAATGTTATTTATTGTGGAAATTTTTATCAAGGAACATCGTTCGTATTGATTCGTGCTTTTGAGAAGGAACGTTCCCACTTGAGTCTTGAACATTTGTGATCGTTCTCCGAGAATAAACGGGAATGTTCCATCATTTACAACACTAATTATATGATACACAAAATTGAATTTTACTAAAGAAATTTTTGAATGTTGAAGTAAAGCAGGTGCTACACAGAATTACAATAAGGTTAGAACTAAAATCAGAGCTTAATTCCTTTGTAGAATTCGTTTGTGTGAAACATTTTGGGTTAGTTGGTTTCAATTAAACTACAAGGAGTAGATACACATTGTAAGGAGTTATTTTTTAGATAAATTTGAGCCTTTTTTACATTATACAACACTTTCATAACTGCCTAGGAGTTCTAGGGGGCTTTTAACAAATGCAAGTGTAAATAAACTATTTCATTATCGGATTAGATAAAAGAAAAACAGCAGATAATTTGAGCAGTTTGAAGTGCAGCAGACACTTACAAAAAAGATAACAGAAAGCATTGAAAGGTAACAGAATCAGAAGCAAATTTTTACCTTGTCCAACTACAGCAACTGAAGATATTTTCAAGGGATTTTTCTGTGAATCCTGCACTCCTATAAAGCTTACGATTCCTTGCAAATCCCTTTCAAATCCAATCAAATAACTGCTGGCTGCCTGCTTGCCAGTGTTTTCTATGGTTATCGTTCCGGTAATTTTAACCAATTGCGAATTCAAATCGATGCTCCTCTCTACGTTTTTGTTGATTATACTCGGATTCACGTTTTCCGCTGCATTGGCAATGGCCAAAACTGCAAAGACCGTCAGGAATTTCCACATTTTTATTTAATAATTTTGCACTACCCTCTTGAATTGAATTGAAAATTGTAAAACCGAAAAACACATCAACATCAAAAAGTTGACGTGTCAGAATTTGTCAGGAAGCCGGCCGCACGGATGGAGCAATCTGATTGGCCTGAAAACACGACGATGGCGACATCTCTTTTCATTTGGAGTACTTAGAGCAGAGAGCACAGCAGAACTTGCACCAGTTGAGCTTGTGGCGTGCTCACTCCGTTCACTTTAAATACTCCGTAGAGTAAAGCTGGAGTTTCATGCATCCGTTTTTCCGACGAAAGATTTCCGAAAAACATTCTATTCTGACATAATCGTATAAAAATATGTCAAAATAGAAGATTTTTCGGAAAACGGATGCATGAAACTCCGGCCTAAGCAAGCACTCCGATCATTCGGATAGAACCAGAGATATAAGAACTGATAGGCAATCCGATAGTTCGGGTCTGGGAACTGGAGTTTGGTTTTCACGCGTGAAAAGAGTAACTCTACCTGTACTCTCGCCTAAACGGATTCGAGTCGAGTAAAAGGTGCTCACTCCAAAAGTTCCAGGCCACAGTTTTGCAAAGTAGAGTTTTTTTTAGATTGTTTACTTTATCATCGTCTTCAAAATAATTCGCAAATTGGCACCAATATTGAAATATTACAGTTTTCTTAATCGAAGTGGAGAGCTTGGCGTTTTTGTTTGTCCCAAAAGCTCCGGTTCGTTCAAGGATGATACACACTTGACACTATTCACTACTATTACTACTACAGGATAGCATCTATCCTCATAAGGCCTGTGTGGAACAAATTCCCCCTCACCCCACAACTCGCCAAATCACCAGTTGTAACGTAGGCAGCACGCTATTTCTCGCCTTGACATAGGCTGTTTGAACGGCTGAATACATTTCCAGCTGACGCTTTTGAGCACGCAATCAAGCTTTTGCGCGCGCAAATGCTTCAAGCGCGAGTTCGTGTTCCAGCCGTACTGCGCTTCGAGAGCTTCTAATTTCTGCGTTTCAAACACAGAACACTGTGCTGCACCGTGCTTGAAGCACACGGCTGGAAAACGGCTATAGTTATGACGTCGGAAATGGTGACACACCAATGGCCGCGTTCACCAGATACAAACGTTAATAAACGCTTTGCGATTGTTCTGCTGAACGCTACGCTGAATTTGTGTTGAAAACAAACATGTTTGTGTTTAACAAACGGTCGCCATTTTTGCAAACATAATATAAGGCTGCGTTCGGCTTTGCATTCCACGGGGCGGAACGGTATGAGCATGGATATCGTGACGTCACACGCGGTCATAAGCCCAACGCAAAAGAGAACATTCCGAGAGCTTAAACGAACAGGATCTTATCATTTCGAGCGCGCACAGAGTTTACAGAGTGTAAAGCCGAACTCACTCGAATCTAAGAGTTTTTGTTTCAATACTTGTTTTTGTGTGAAGCGAGTTCGGAATGTACAAAGTGTAGACACTTTTTACACTATTGACACTGTGGCGTTCGTTAATGGGTCCCTTGCATCAAATTTTTTATTGCTGATTTCGATAGTCCATGAACACGTGTTTTTTCTTTTTCTTCTTAAATCAAAAATTGACGGAGATACAACGCTATGAAATCGCATAAAATTTTGTTAGGTTTACGCTTGAAAAAAGTGACGTGATGGATATCTACCACTCGAATTTGAGCGGTATGTTGCGGTTTGTTAAACCGGAGCCACGTGAAAAGGGTTAATGGTTTTTACCGGGCTTGACGTGATTCATGACATAATAATCATCGCAACGCCCCAATACGTTCCGAAATAGCGCACCCAGAGTGCACTCCAAAAGTGATGACTTCAGAACACTCTGACAAACAGCTAAACTTTACCTTCACACTCCATTTCTAAAGGCACTCCAGTGGTGAACAAGTTTTATAGGGTATAGGTAAACTAAAAGGAAAAAAAAATGTACACCACAGCACTAAAATAGATTTGGTTTTGGTTAGAATTTTGATTTAGGGTCTGTTCTCATTAGATACACAAACCCGTCCGAGCGAATTTCATTGCACTTCCATTGGTTGAAAATAGTCAAAAAATTAAATGTTGGCGATTTGCACCCATCAAAAACGCTCCGACTATTGTTGGTGATTTCTGTGAGAACAGACCTTTAATACGAGGGATGTCGAAAAAGTATAGTATGTGCCAATTGCAATGATTCCGCTGTACTTCTCCATAATAGAATTTTAGAATTAAATTAAAGCAGTGGATAGAGGTCCGAAAATTCGGATCTCTATACTTTATTTTTTCCCAAGATAGATTTTGACATTGAAAACTTTGAAACATACACAATAACGCTTGACCCTAATTGGTCGCAAAATGAGGGGTTTCTGCAGGTTGACATCAGTTTTACAATAGCGACCAATAAGCGGCATTAGTGGCATTGTTTATGTTTCAAAATTGACAAAATCTAGCTTGGAAAAAAATAAAGTATAGTGTTCATACTAAAGGTACCGGTTTGTTAGGAGAGTACGCGTCGCACAACTGACAACGTTAACGTCGTCATTGGTTCAGGTATGACCATAGGTATGACGTACACCCGTTTTCTCACGTCAGAAGACGGGTGTACGTCATACCTATGGTCAAACCTGAACCAATAACGACGTTTACGTACCTTAAAGGTACGGTTTGTTAGGATAGTACGCGAGGCACAACTGACAACGTAAACGTCGTCATTGGTTCAGGTATGACGTACACCCGTTTTCTGACGCTGACGCTGACGTCAGGGAACGGGTGTACGTCCAAGCTGAACCAATGACGACGTTTACGTTGTCAGTTGTGCGTCGCGTACTATCCTAACAAACCGTACTTTAAAGTTCCGATAATTAACGTGTCTCGTAATACCTGGTGTGCGCGCGCAACTCGTGGGTTGCAGGTGAGCGTCCAATGAAAATCGAGTTTTTTACGGGCTTGCGTCATATTCGTATTCAGGGACGAGTTCAGAATTAATCGTTTCTTCTTTTTTTGTAACGTGTAATTCGACAAAGAAAAAACTAATACTTTACGTATTACTTGAACCTATCCCAGTGTCGTTTAAGGTTACGTTAGATTATACTTGACATATTTTCATTGTGCAATGTTTGAAACATTTATCAAAATAAAAGTGCCATCGATGTTAACATACACGTTAAAGCTCTTCTTTTGTCTGATTTGAGGCGTTGTAAAACACTTGACAATATATTACTTCTTTAATGCTATAATGTTCGATTTGTATTGTCTACATTTGTTCTGCAACAATGGAATCTGGCTACACTGCAGCCACGAGTTGCGCGCGCATGTCATTTTTTATTATTTTTTAACTTGTATTTATTACAATTAAGCTCTCTTTCACTATTTCTGCGAGACCCGTCAATTCTCGGATTTTCAATTTATATATTAGGGGTCCGAAAATGCGGATCTTCAGTGGTATTATTGAAGATCCGAAAATAGATGTTTATTTCTAATTCTGTCGTACTTAAGGAATATAAAGGCTGGTTCATGCATAAATTCTTTTTCTGTTTCTTTAACTTTTTCCTTATGCATAAGCTTTTCTTTTTCCGTAAAATTTGAGGTATTTCTTGCACCAAAAATTAAGAGTTTTTATCAGTCTTTAATAATGACATTGTTGACGTGTATGGGAAACTGCGAACGGTTTGTTGGGTTTTATCAGGGTGTTATAAATATTATTTCCCACGTTATTTTCAATTTAGACACGTATTTTAAGTCGTATTTGTTGTTTCCTTTAAAAAATTTCCTGTTTTTGAGGTTAAGTCGAGAAATATGAATGTTTTCATCTACTGCGCAGGCGCCATCGAATTTATCTGTAACTTTATCCGTAAAAGATAAAAGTTAACTATCTTTAATAGAGAATAAAGAAAATGATACGGAAAAGTAATGTGCATGAACACCTGCATATAAATACATGCAACTTATACATTACTTACGGATATAGATAGCGACTAAGTTACGGAAACGGAAAATATTTTCATGCATGAACCAGCCTTTACACCATTTCAATAAAATTGATAAAATGCTTGTATTTTTAAGGATTTATACTAGAAATAATGGATCCTCTAATCTTTTCTATGTAGAATAACTAATCAAGTTTACTCGAAAATATTTTGTTGGTGCAATTTCAAACAGAAAAGTACAAAAAACAAAACTAAGTACCTACCTTTTCATTTTTTAAAACATTACATAATTAAAAATAAATATTTCTTCATTTAAACGGTTGTAGGGTAAGAGGTGTGAGGTGTGATTTAGTTCCTTCTGCACTGCATGCAAAACCAGGCTTTCTTATTAGAAGGCAGCTTTGTTACTGAACAATACACTTTATGTTTACACTGAAGACATGAATCACACCCACACCGTAAGCAATCTTCATGTATCACTTTGTTACATATATCACAAATCCATTTTAGAATACTATTTTGTTTTTCTCCAATTCGTTTTTGTAATAAAACATAAGAATCCAGACAAAAATATGTTTCTATTTCTGCTAAAGATATTTCTTTTTCAAGAAGAAGTGGATCAATTTGTTGATGATGAGAAATGTTTTATTTCTCATTTTTAAAGTTTTTATGTAATGCTTTGCTTACCAAATCATCTATATTGTGATGATCCAGAAATTTGACCCTATAATTACTAAGTCTTTACTGTAAAAATTTTAATTTTTATCAAATAATCAAAAACTTACTTCCGGTATTTTTAAATCTGTATCGATAAATTAAAAATAAAACCAATTAGCGCTAATGTATTGCATCAAGTTAATCTAAATTAAATTCTTAAAAACTGATAAAAACGAGGTGATGTCATCCTAAAATCCGATCAATGAACTTTTTTAGCCAAGGCCTTTCCGCTTAACAAAAATTGAGTCGAATGAATTATGGCATTCTTGAACCCAAACGTGTTGACCTCAATAAATCAGATTATTGCGACATAATTAATTGATTTTAGACTAAAAATAAAATAAAATTCAAGGAAATTGCATCATCTTAATTGTCATGGACACAGAATTTCGGAGGGGAAACAAAAGATATAAAAAGCCGCGTTTGAGTTGCCGAAAGGATAGTTGCCAGAAAACAGTTGAGTCGTCCATTTGAGTTGAAGTCTGACCAGTTTCGCGAAAAGTTTCTTTCATGGCTTATGGCCTCGGGTATAATTTAACTTAGAAAATTTACGGAAAATCGTGAAAGTAATAACATTTGAAATTCGTTCAATAAATTATGTGCGTGCTAGCTAAATATTTTGAGTAATTAATTAAGAAATTTTACGTGTATTTTATGGACAAAATGTAAGTACTTTATAGTGACAAGATCTATTTTTGATGAACATGGCTTTGTGTGAATTTTACTAGAAAACTTTTGACTTCTTTTTTGGGTTTTATGTGAAATAAAATATAATTTAGTACACCTCATTAGTTTGTTTCTCTCTCTTGCAAATAGACCCTCCTCCACAGATTTTAGATAGCAAGCTCCAAGTATATAAAAACCATCAATATACCGCTCGCCAATTACCATCTAACTATTTACATAGTGTACTTGGGGCGTTTTGCTACAATATTTAAAACTACATTAAGCATTATCTGGTGCCTCAGTTTACGAACTTTATTTTTGAATAAAACTCTTTTATTTTTCTTAGACCTTTTTAGTCCAATTGCAGTTAATTGATGTCCTTTGGATTTTCCTTTATGGGTTTCAAAGGAAATTTAATACTTTTTATTTTTTCTTCTAATTGGTTTTGTGCAGTACCTAGTATTTGGTTCTTGGGCTAGTTTCATTAAAATGGTGTCGCAAATATCTACAAAGAATAATTTTCAAGATAAGTCTGTTTCTGCAGAAATCACAAATTAGTCAGAGCAAATTTCATTGGTTGAAAACAGTCAGAAAGCTAGTTTCAACCAATGAAATTCACTCTGACTGATTTGTGATTTCTGCAGAAACAGACTTATCTCGAATATTATTCTTTGTAGATACTTGCGACGATACTCCTTAATTAGACAGAATTAGAAATAAATATCTATTTTCGGATCTTCAATATTACCACTAAAGATCCGCATTTTCGGACCCCTAATATACAAATTGAAAATCCGAAAATTATCGGATCTTTAGTATGAACACTAGAGATCCGAATTTTCGGACCTCTATCCACTGCCCTAAATTAATTATTATTGCGGTTTAGTACCTCTTCTAGTACCAGTTTAGTACATTTTTACTCCTGAGTCAGGTACTCAACCCTGAAACCAGCTGATTTGTTCGTTCTGTCAAAACAACCTTTTATGTAATTTTTCTTGTTGAAAAAATTTAAAAAAAAAAACTATGTTTGTAGGGGCGGTAAGTAACTTGTTTCATAATTGATTAACCAATATTCTAATTTATCTTAAAATCAACATATTTATACAACAAAATCATTTTTAGGTTATCCGAAAAGGTTTGATCCCGGCAGCTGCAGTAGTAACCGAAGTAAAAATGCAAAATTCCGACCAAGTAGAAGACAATGAGTTTGTTTGCAGGTAATTACCAATGCACATTACATATTGAATCTAAATTTTCTTTATTAGACCTAGTGAATTGCCCATTTATACACCAGACCTGCAAAGTTTCGCAAAACAACCAAAAATCGTCCAAAAAGAGGAAGTACCAGCACCGAGTTTCATACAAGATTCAGTTAAAACTATGAGACGTACACTAACAAAGTACAAAAAGGAATATGAGGCTTATGAAGTAGTGGCCAAGCGAAACTTGACCGAGAGCAAACAGAATGTGGAATGTAAGAACAACAACAGTTTATACAACAAGTTTGTTGTATAAAAGAAGTTTTAATAACAACTTGGAAACTATTTATAAAACATGACTTTTACAAGAGGTATCACAGAGCTCTGTTCCAACCGACATGAGAACCGTTCTAGAACAATAATTTCCAGTTGCCCATTTTTCAATACGTTGAAATTGAACTTTTATCCTAATCGACAAATAAATTGATCGACTGGAAATTACTGTTTTAAAATGGACATCACAAACCAGTCAGAGCAAACTTTATGGGTTCAAAATAGTCACTGTTGGTGATTTGCACCAATCAAAAACGGTCTGACTGGCTTGTGATTCCTGTGAGAGCTGAGAACAGATCTCTTACACCTTCAGAGAGATACTATTATAAAACCATTTTACAAGTTCTATATTTGAAAGCGATGGGTTGAGAAGTTGAGATGTGAAATTTATAAAATCAATTTAATTTTCCTTGAAATTTTGCCATTTTGAACCTGTCCATCTTCATCCTATATGCTCTTCACTCATATTCTTTTGAAAAATTGTATTTGATCAAGAACAAACATTTATACAACAACTTTGCTGTATAAAAGAAGTTCTAACAGCAACTATTTATAAAACCTACCTACAATATGCTTTACAGCAATTTGACTTTATAAAATAATTCTACAGATTTACAAATTCTATGAAATTAATTTAAAAAAGGTTGGTATAAAAGTGTTTTGGTAGTTGTGGCAGTTGAGAACAACTTTGTCTTCATGTCATAATAATATAGTTTTCCTATTTTGAATCTGTCCATCATCTTATGCTCTCATGTTATTATTTTTTTTTTGATCAAATTTTCCTAGTCTAGAGATATCCTATCATTTTTTTCAAGGGTTGGTTGATTATCTACGGCAAGAAGACAATACATTACCAAAAGCAGGAGCAATAGGTATTGGTGCTTTGACTGGTCTCATTTTTGGACTAAGAGGTGGCTTTTTCAAGCGGGCCATTTACGCTACCACTGGAGCTTTAGGTAAATTATCAACTTTGTATCGCAAAAAAAAATAAATACATTATTTTTCTAGCCATGGGTGCTGTTTGCTATCCGAAAGAAGCTTCAGAATATTCCCAATTTGCTACAGTTGAAGGCAAAAAAATGCTGACTATCGCCTATAACTTTGCTTACGGAGGTAATTGTTTCTAACTAAATTTTTAGTTTAAAAAAAAAAAAAACATAACAAAAATTTTGCAGTAAAAAAAGACGACCCTCCACTAGAACTACCAACTTTACCTAAATTACCAACTACTGTTTCTGGGGCTTGGGATTCTATTAAATCATCTTTTATTTCAGATGATAACGCAGATGTTGCTAATACCAGTCAAGTAAGTCTTGAAAATTTCTGTCCACCCCAAGATGAAATTTCCCCAGATAATTCCTATTGTCCCCCATCCAATAATGAACAAATTTAACTCCCCTGGTAAGATCCAATAATCAGATCCTTCATTATTTTAGTTTTTAATATTAAATTTCTTATTGGTACTTTTAATTTCAGGCTCACAAAAAATAATACAGTAACTACTGCAGTTGACTTTTTATGTGTGTATTTATTTGAAAGTTGTTTTATTGAAAATTATTTGTAATCTGAAATTATTGTTGTAATAAAACCTAATATATAGTTTTAATGTTTTTCAATTTTGGTATTCAAAATGAAAGTATAAAATCGAATATACAGTATGTCCTGGTTTTTATGAATACACCCCGATATGTCAGTAGTAGTAGTAAGTAGCATGCTTTATTGTCAAAAGATACAATAATCATTATGGACAAAGCGAATCCTTAAATCTAAAATCTAAATCATCTAACTATAATGTTTATCACAGTAAATACACAATATACATATTTCTAAATTTTAACAGTTCATGAATAAGTTACAATAAACACATGATAAGTTATATCAATTTCAGTTGGTTTTGAGATATTTTTGCCAGTTATTTCTTATACAACATTCCATGTTTTCCTAGATTTGTTGGTGGCATTATCAAGTCGACTTGAATAAAAGAGGTATTTAGCTGTTTTGATGAGTTTTTTTGTAGATTTGACGAAATCTTATGTAGTAGGCAGTTATAAATTGATTGTCATGAAAGTGTCTCCTTAATATATTCAGAGAACGAAGATTGGCTGCAGATGTTTTTAGACCTTGTGTCACCCAGTATTTTTGGTTTAATCTTTTACGAAATGGTCTTGAAGGAAAGGTTATATTAATAATGCTGCTTAGAAGAAGGTAGAACTCTTGTAGTGGGTCAGATTTTAGAAGTACGGGTTGCCAGTTCAGTTAGTACTAATACAGCTATTTTTAAATTTTTGGAAGTTTCTTTTGCTAAATATTCTAACTTGTTTCCTGGAGTTATTACATATGGCTTTAACTTCAAAGGGAGTTTAGCTATTATAGCGTGGTGGTCAGAGAGATCTGCATCTATCACATTGCACTCAAGATCAGTGCCAAAATGTGAACATAGGTAATCAATGGTGGTAGAGGTAGAATTAGTTGTTCTTGTTGGATTTTTTATATGCATATGGAGGTTGAAACTTTCGAGCAATCGAGCAGATTAATTAATAGAATGGTTGAATGTTCCTCAGGTTTCAGATAATCTATGTTTAAGTTCCCTGCAACTATCAATTTAGATTTAGGTGGAATATTAGATAAAAGAAGCTCAAAATTGTCGATAAAACATACGATGCTAGTGTTTGGGGAACAGTATAAGCATAAGATGTATGTATTGAGAGAACGAGAAAAAAAACATTGAGAACTTGAAAGTTAATTATTATCTAATAATGCGATTTTATTCAAACTTTGGTGGAGATTGTATGTTAGAAAAATAAACTATTTGGCATAGTGAAAATGTTTATTTACCATTGGCGTGCGGTGTTGGGGGGTAAAAAGGGATTGTATTTTTGGGAAAAAGACATTATGGCTTATTTTTAGATAATTTTTTATATCGTATTAAAGTTCAGCATCCCCAAAAGCCCGTAATTCATATTTTGAAAATGTCAAGAGCTGATTTTACCAAAAAAATAAATAAATATTTTATTTAATTTTTCTAATAAGTTCTTTATTTCTAATTGTGATAACCAAATTACTGATGACATTATTTTATAACATTGTATTTTCAATATAAAAACCTCCTAATTAGAAAGAAACAGCCTTTCAGAAAGAGTAAATTAAAATACCTACATTTTTTTTTTTGCTAAAATCATCTGTTGAGGAATATGAATTAAGGGGTTTTTGGGGATGCTGATTCCTAATCTGATACAAAAAAATTATATAAAATACGCCCTAATCTCTTTTTCCCAAAAAAACAATACGTTTTTACCTCCCAACACAGCACACCAATGGTAAATAATAGTAGGTACATTATATACCTAGGTTAAAGATTATGCCAACATAATGTCATTTTGACTTTTATCTTTAAAAATAAAACAGACTTTAAAAATTCCGCTTTCTGCTTCTACTCTTTTGCGAACGGAAATAGAAAATTTCCTCAAAAAAGGGGATAATTCCGTCAAGCTGGCAACACTGTGGCTGATTCGTTTATCAACCGCAAGGATATCAACAAAGCATTTGATAGGTTGGATATAAGCCCCGCCCCTTTCCAATCAGATGCGAGTGATATGAGCAGGGCATTCAATTGGTTAGTTGAGCCCCGCCCCTTTCCGGGGTTTATGTATCGTCAAGGTATTTGATTGGTTGTTTCCTTTTCAATCCTTTCCAATGGCCCCGGCCCACCTACAGTGACAATCTTTTCAAATAGAAATTCGGTACCGCCGCTCAGGGACGGAGTCATGGGGGGGGTTGAAGTTCCTGAAATATATCGAAAGTTGGGAAAACTTGGATAAAAAATTTAAAGTTGGGAAAAATTGGTAGACAAAAATTTGCGAGGACTAATTAAAATTAACATACATTATGATCGTGTCACGTGTTGTAATGAATTGTAAAATCACCGTACAACAGGTTGACGAAATCCCAATGGTCGGGGCGATCTCTTGCGTTGCACATTGCACTGCACTAGCACCACTAGCCTGTGGCAGTGGCACGTGGCATTCGTGACAGTAGTGGCTCTAGCGCCACTAGCACTATTCACTATTCGAGAGTCAAGACCGACGACCGACGTAGTTGATATCTATAGCTTGTTGTTGCAAGCGCGTCGTGTTTTAGAGAGATGGACAATATAGTATATTAGATAATCCAAACTTCTTATTACTTTCTGCGTTCTGCGCATTCTTCGCTCGCTATTCAGATTTCAGCAAAGCTCTGAATCCTGTGCTCTTATGTTGAAGAAATGTTTTTTTGGAACGTTTTTCTTATATACATGTTTTTTATACATTGTTTATTTTATTTGATTATATTATTTGTAGGTCTGGAACAAGATTGTTTGAGAGAGGAAGGTTGCCTCTGGGCTGGAGTTCTGTAACGAATAGAGATATTTTCTCTATCTCTATTGACGTCTCCTCTCTATTGATTTTGACAAGAAAGAAAAAGACAGCAAGTGCCATAGCGATAGGGATAACGATCCTTATCCGTCACAAAGTTCGAGCCCTCTGATAATTTTCTTCCGTCATCTGGGGTGCCTCAACATAATGCAAATCTCCAAGGTACCTCAGATTAGATGCGTCATCAAGTTACCCATTATCAGGCAACCTATTAACTTTAGTAATCTTGGGTCTGGAATATATACAGTCGTGAGCATAAAAAGTAGGACACCGGACTGACAGGTCTTGTCATTTTTCACTATTTTGTGTAAATCAGTCTTTTCTCTACAATGGATTTTTTTGTCAAATATGACAATCTCTGTCATTGCCATAGGTATAGGTGATGAGCTCGTTTTACAATAGGAAAAAACGGGTGTCCCACTTTTTATGCTCACGACTGTACATGTCAAACTTTTTATCAGTTTTTGAAGTGAAACTTCTTAGGCGGCGGTCTGATATTCAGAGGAGAATAAGGAGAGTGATTTGAAAGACGAAAGACGCATCATGCAACGTCACGTTATGGCAAATTTCGTTACAGGAGAGATGAGAGAGAAGGAAGCTATAACGTAGAGAGACGGAGAAAGGACTCAACCAATGACAATGACAGCCGATGAACAATTCACACTAACGAAGGATTATAAGTAGAGAGGATTGCCTATTATTGTCAAGCGCCGATACCCTTATTGTAACTAACGAAGGATTATAAGTAAAGGTCTGGGCACACATGACCGCACCGAGTCCGCACCGAGCCCGCACCGAGACACGGCCGTGTCTCGGTGAATAGTTGTACCGTGTTTTCTTATGTCGTAGTCTTCACATCTACGCACCGTGCCCGCGCCGAGCCCGAGTGACACCACCGCACCGCGTCCGTACCGTGCGAGATTAGTTTTGTTTAATTTTTGACGGGCACGGTGCGTTGCAGAAATGGAGAAACTGATAGAAGAAGTCAAAAAGTATCCTGTATTGTACGACCAAAGAAATGAAAAATATAGGAATGCTGAATATAAGGAAAGGGTATGGACTTTAATTGCTACGCATTTAGAAATAAAGGGTAAGTCAAAATACATATGTTTTATTTTCAATTAAGAATCCTGTTAAAATAGGTTGAAATTGATTATACCTACTATACAGGGTGAATCTGAAAGTGAGGTTTTATTTTCAAAAGGATATATATCTCCACCAAAATAAGACTCCATATAAAATATTTTGTTTACATTTCCTCACAAATAAAAACCGGGTACAAAAAACACTCGTAGTACGACCGTCATGCGGCCGTGTGTTGGAAATGTGTGGCTTTTACCTTATTGAGCGACACACTGCCGTGTTACTGCACGGACTCGGTGCGGGCTCGGTGCGGATACGGTGCGGTCATGTGTGTCCAGACCTTAAAGAGGATTGCCTATTATTGTCAAGCGCCGATACCCTTGTAACGTTACTATAGATACGCGGGCTCTTCGTCTTCACCCCGACTCATAAGCTAAGTCTCAAAGCTGTATATAGAGGGTATAGTTTTTGAAAAGTTTCACTTCTTAATACGTTTACGATGCTACACATGATTTTTTTGAACTGAAAGTTCTTATGCGGCGGTTTGATATTTAGAGGAGAATGGAGAGTTATTTGAAAGAAGCGTTACGTGTAACCCTTGTGACGTCTCTACAGATGCGCGTTTGTCTATTGTGTAGCCTTTCATCTTATATACCCCCACTCATTTGCTAAGTCTCAAAGCTGTATGAGAGACAAGTTCATGAGGGAGGGAATAGTTTTTTCCTACGACCACATACGAAAATTACAAAATTCGCACTAGCTGGTTCTTTGGAAAGCTGCTCTCAATATCACTCGCGTGCTGAAAGTACTTTCAATACTCGTGCTAAAAGTACTTTCAGCACACGTGTGGAAAATACTGTTGACATTATTTGTGATTGACATAACAATTTACTTTCAATACGTGGATTGAAAGTATTTTCAGCACGTCTGTTGAAAATGAAAAGAAATAAAATAAGAGAAAATTGATGAAAATTGGTTTCTGGTCGTAGGAAAAATGGTGTACATCAATCGTAAGAAAGCGTCTTTCATACACTCGTGTGAAATTTGTCACTTTCTACACTCGTAATGTAATATACTATTAAGAAGTTCCACTTCTTAACACGTGTACCACGTATGATTTTTTTTATGTTTCAATAAAGTTGGGAAAATTAAGAATGTCACCCCCCCCCCCCAAACCAGAGGCCATCGCTACGTCCCTGCCGCCGCTATATTCTTGCAAATTTTGAAAATGAATATAGAAGTTAGCTTCGCCTCTGCCGCCATATTTTTGCATATTTTTTGATTTTTACTCGGGTATTATTATTAATATTATTATTATCTAAGTAGGTATATATTTATTTGTTCTTTTTTTTTCCATCTCATATTTTGTCTATTCCCGGATCTTGAATTTTCGTTTTCTTTTTAATTTTTCTAATGCCCATTTTCACCAACTATTTAGAGAAGCCCTAACAATAGGTATGCCTTAAACTCTAACTTTATCTTTAAAAAAAAAAAACAGACTTTAGTTCATTTTTCTAACATACAATCACCAGCAAAATTTGATTAAAATTGCATTACTAATAAGGGGGTGTATTCATGAAAAGTGGGACTGGGATACATTGTATAATTTATACTCTCAGGTGCTTTTCACCACGATAAATATAGAAACAGAATCAGCAATCCAGAATTAATCACAAACCATCCTGAGAGCACAATAAGAAATCTCCCACCATTTCTTATATAGAGCCACTCTGTACCAACTCTTGTATAGAAAGCTATTTAATAAAAAGAGAAAATCATTAGGTCTGTTTCTGCAGAAATCACAAACCAGTCAGAGCGAATTTCATTGGTTGAAAACAGTCAGAAAACTAGTTTCAACCAATGAAATTCACTGATTTCTGCAGAAACAGGCCTAATATAATAAAACAACTTATTTTCGTTTCTGTATGATTTTTATTGACATGTTTTCATTATGTACACCGATGTAGAAACGTACTTGTGATGTCACTACAAAAGTTTTTTTTTTGTTTTTCAATAAGGCCTCTATGGCTTGGACATTCATATCATTCTTTCTGTAAACATAAAAAAACACTATAGGATAAAATAATTTGTACAAAAAAAATTAAATAACAACATTTTTTTGTTTTGCGGTAAGTAGTTGTACTAAACAGTGACACACACCCTCGTAGAGAATTATTTAAATTACTCTGCATGAGAACAGCTAACTTTAAGCAAATGTATGCTTAAAATTTAGTGGTCCCAGCGTACAAAAAATTATTCAATTCATTTTTTTGGTAGTTCCTTAAAATAAACCAATAATTAATTTGTTGATGAGATCGAAATTATTGCAGGTGTCGTAATACTTGACAAAAATTATAAACATTTATATTTTCTTTGAAAAAAAAATGGTTTGTGTCATTCCATTCAAAAAAAAAAATACATAAGGAAATTCAAAATGCCCAATGATAAGCAATATATTTATGTGAATTTATATACATTTTTTTTTTTTTTTTTTCAAAACAAAACAGATTTATGAATTTTTTCAATGGCACCATTTTATTTTTTAATAAAAGGCTTATAATGTGCTCGGTTCAATTTTAACCAAAAATAATTATGTACACAAAATTTAGTAGTGTAAAATAGTTCAAAACATAAAATTCAGCCTTCAATATAAGCCTCAGTACAAACCTTACTCAACTAATAAAAATAAATATTGTAATAAATTTTAAAGAAAAAAACAAAACCATAGCAATAATTTTATTTTTGTTTCCTAAAATGACCAAATCAATAAGAAAAATAGGCACTTTGGTCCGATTTGTCCAACGAAGTTTTTAAACATCTAAAAATAATTTAGAAAAACCCAAAAAATATTCTATATAACACAAATAATTAATAAATATAGGAATTAAAATAATATATTATTATAATTAAATATAGTTAACCTATTTTAAAATTCAACCATGCACCTCTTTAGCCAAAGGACAATTTTTAGACGAGATTCCCTCATTGAAAATAACCATAACATAAACATAAACACATTGACACAAATTCATATAAATTTTTTTTTCGAACCAACAATAATATACAATACACAAATCTGAGAGGTGCATGGTAATGGTGAGGATGGAAAGATGCAATTAGGCGTCTATAAATTGAGAAAATTTTACTACAGCTTGGGCCATAATTAAACTCAGTGTAACTGGTCACATCTGTAAGAATTTGCTTATAGAAAACTTTATAGAATTGAAAATAATATTTCCGATTGGATGTTTGGCAATCAAAATGTTTTGCAGTCTATAGGCTAGTTATACAGGGTTATTGGTAATTCGATACATTCCTTTGGAGTAGGGTTTCCATACGTCCGGATTTACCCGAACATGTTTGGATTTTTGGGGTGTCCGGGGAAGTCCAGCCGGAATTCGGAACAATGTCCGGAAAACTTGGAGATCGTGAAAACTAAACAATCTTACTTTGTTAAATATCTTAATCGTTACGATACTTCATTTCTACCTATTAATGAACACAAAATTCATCCTTCATGAAAATTTCAAGTTATTTTTCGGCAAAGTCCGGATTTTGTCCGGATTTCTTGACTCCTTTGTCTTGATTTCCGTAAAACCTTTATGGAAACCCTACTTTGAAGATGTGATAGAGGATGAAATAGGGAGTAAATTTAATAAACCTAAAATCTACCGTACATTTTTTCAACTTTTCTACTCGATTACTTTCCCAACACTTCTTATGTGTGTAATAAAAAATATGCGGAAACATTTCAGTCAGGGAAAATTTTAAATCAAATTTCTTCAAAAATAAGGTATCAGAATTTCTTATCGGTTATTTTTATGAAACTCATCAAGCAACATGTGAATTTTTTTTTAAAAAAACTTCCTTATTTCAATAGGTATCCAACAAGGTACAAATGATACCAAAATTGATCACATGATGCGAATGAGAGAATTTATTCACTCGGTACCTTCTCTTGGTTTCTTATTCTTGCTAATACAGTGGCAGTTTAAATTTATTTTCCGGATATTTTTTATTACAAATATAAGACCACAGTGTTGGGCAAGTGATCCAGTAGAAAAGTTTGGTAAATTTTTTACTAATTAATTTTTAAGTCTATGTTTTTGAGAAAAACAGAAACATTGAAATATCTCAAAAAATATTGAGCTTTGCGTGAACCATGTTACGGTTAAATTTACCTCATACCCTATCACATCTATAAAGGAATGTATCGAATTACCAATAACCCTGTATATTCCAATAGTTTTAGCTATTTTATGAGAGTAGGGATAAGAATTGTAAACATTGCAATAATTTTATTATTCAAGTCGATGCAATATACACTGCCGAGCATAAAATTTCCCATAATTTGCAAGCAAAACTTGGGGCAAGACAAGACGTTCTAATCACACGAGTTTTGTAGTTATGTATAAACGCGCGTGTGATGTACAACGCTTTATCTACAAAGCGAAAAATAAGAATGTTTTTTCCTTCAGGCACACTGAGTTTTACTATAGCAATATTGACGGATAAATCAAAGAAAGTTTTAAAACTTATCATATTTTAACTATAATCACAAGTAAAAACAAGCTTTTAAGCATCCTTCTCCTTGTCATCATAGTCCCAATATCGAAATTAAAATTAAAGGAATTGATTTAACAGCTTACAATTACAATTATTAAGGATTTTAAGTCGTATCAGGTTTTGGTTCCTAACTAAAAAATAAAAATATTTAAAAGTGTGTTGTTTGTTTGTTGTGAGTGTGTGAGCAAAAAATTGGAATTTGTTATTCTAGAAAAGGTCGTAATCGAAAAGATCGGCCAGACCCTCTGACGCATCCAGGCTGAAATTGTACTCTGGTTGCATGAGGGGCTCAAGCGGGACGAACGGTTCTGATGAGAAAAACGGATCCATACCTAAAGAGAAAATAATATGAATTTTTGTTTAAACTATTCATACACCAAAGCCCTATTGACACAAAAACAAATAAATTATGGTTAGTTACAAATCTCCCACGAAGCAGGTTAGGACAAGTCGCGCTGAGCTGAATCCCATGGTGCTACGAATTAAGAGAGCAGCCATCACGGGATGCAACTCAACGCAGCCATAAGCAACATTTTTAGCCCAAGAAAGATCCACAAATTTGTTTGTTAACAAAAAATGACCCTGTTAAAGCATTTAACACAATTATTAGCCTAGTACATAATTCTATGATTAGTGGCGAAAAGAAATTGTAGAACAAGCAAAAGCATCGCTAGAACTCTGCCTGTGATGTGACTTAAAACAACACAAGTCACAGACAGAATCCCACGATGCAATTACCACCAAACATTCATCTAACTTCTGGATTAATGAAATGTTAAATTTTTTCCAACAAAAAACAAAATTATTCTCACCATTACTATAACTATTCCCAAGTCCCCGTAAACCACTTAGAGGACTGTCGCCAAAGAATGCCACCCTGAAAGGTGTCCGCAGTCCACCTTGCGATGTTCCCTCGCCAGGAGACTCCAGTCTTGGGTCCAATTGCACAATAGCCGTAGAGGCGAGAGGCCCGCCAAACGATACCGGATCGTTGGGCGGTCCGCAACCCGAATCCTGCACTGAGGTAGATGTGGAGGGCTGAAGGTGATTGAGGTTTTGTTGACTTGTACTCGGTCCGGCGGTGTCGAAATCGTCTTTGATAAAGGACAACGACCGACACACCTAAAACATTTGTTAATTGTCTTAATGAATTAATCAACCTTGTAGCACTCTATAATAGGACAGCTTAATGGACTGAGTCAAGGAAAAAATGGCAATCAACTGAGAATTTATCTGTCCCAAATGGTTGAGATATCACGAGGGGTGAACCACCTTGAAAGTATAGTGTACAAGCATGTCGGATTCCAGTAGAATTTCAGATTCTGTGGTTCAGAAACTCCTGATTTTTATATCAGAACGACGAGAGGTTCAAAAATTACTAGAACTTAGATTACTTATTGAATGTACTTTTTACTCATTAATTGACCATAAGGACACAAAATCCCAACAAAAAAAATTTTCAAATTTTATCGTTTTAGTAAGAAGGATTTAGATTTTGGAAAACTTTGGAAGGGCATAACTTTTTTTCTATTATAGATAGAAAGCTGAATCTTTCACTGAATTTTATCTATTTCAAAGGACTACAATCCCTGAAAATTTCAGCTCATTTGCACTTATAGTTCCTGAGATAAAATCGTGTTAAGCAATTTGGGGTGATTTATCAATTTTTCTGAGTGCCTTTTTTCATAGATTTCAGCTCCAAATCTGAGAATAATTTAGTTTGTGGAGTTTGTGGGATGTTGATTGACCATCAGGACACAAAATCTCAACAAAAAAAAATTTGAAATTTTATCGTTTTAGTAAGAAGGTAGCTACCTTATGAGTTAAATTTTGGAAAACTTTGGAAGGGCATAACTTTTTTTCTATTATAGATAGAAAGCTGAATCTTTCACTGAATTTTATCTTTTTCAAAGGACTACAATCCCTGAAAATTTCAGCTCATTTGCACTTATAGTTCCTGAGATAAAATCGTGTTAAGCAATTTGGGGTGATTTATCAATTTTTCAATTTTTCTGAGTGCCTTTTTTCATAGATTTCAGCTCCAAATCTGAGAATAATTTAGTTTATGGAGTTTGGGGGATATTGATTGACCATCAGGACACAAAGTCTCAACAAAAAAAAATTTGAAATTTTATCGTTTTAGTAAGAAGGTAGCTACCTTATGATTTAAACTTTGGAAAACTTTGGAAGGGCATAACTTTTTTTCTATTATATATAGAAAGCTGAATCTTTCACTGAATTTTATCTTTTTCAAAGGACTACAATCCCTGAAAATTTCAGCTCATTTGCACTTATAGTTCCTGAGATAAAATCGTGTTAAGCAATTTGGGGTGATTTATCAATTTTTCAATTTTTCTGAGTGCCTTTTTTCATAGATTTCAGCTCCAAATCTGAGAATAATTTAGTTTATGGAGTTTGGGGGATGTTGATTGACCATCAGGACACAAAGTCTCAACAAAAAAAAATTTGAAATTTTATCGTTTTAGTAAGAAGGAACCTTATGATTTAAATTTTGGAAAACTTTGGAAGGGCATAACTTTTTTTCTATTATAGATAGAAAGCTGAATCTTTCACTGAATTTTATCTATTTCAAAGGACTACAATCCCTGAAAATTTCAGCTCATTTGCACTTATAGTTCCTGAGATAAAATCGTGTTAAGCAATTTGGGGTGATTTATCAATTTTTCTGAGTGCCTTTTTTCATAGATTTCAGCTCCAAATCTGAGAATAATTTAGTTTGTGGAGTTTGTGGGATGTTGATTGACCATCAGGACACAAAATCTCAACAAAAAAAAATTTGAAATTTTATCGTTTTAGTAAGAAGGTAGCTACCTTATGAGTTAAATTTTGGAAAACTTTGGAAGGGCATAACTTTTTTTCTATTATAGATAGAAAGCTGAATCTTTCACTGAATTTTATCTTTTTCAAAGGACTACAATCCCTGAAAAATTCAGCTCATTTGCACTTATAGTTCCTGAGATAAAATCGTGTTAAGCAATTTGGGGTGATTTATCAATTTTTCAATTTTTCTGAGTGCCTTTTTTCATAGATTTCAGCTCCAAATCTGAGAATAATTTAGTTTATGGAGTTTGGGGGATGTTGATTGACCATCAGGACACAAAATCTCAACAAAAAAAAATTTGAAATTTTATCATTTTAGTAAGAAGGTAGCTACCTTATGATTTAAATTTTGGAAAACTTTGGAAGGGCATAACTTTTTTTCTATTATAGATAGAAAGCTGAATCTTTCACTGAATGTCATCATTTTCAAAGGACTACAATCCCTGAAAATTTCAGCTCATTTGCACTTATAGTTCCTGAGATAAAATCGTGTTAAGCAATTTGGGGTGATTTATCAATTTTTCAATTTTTCTGAGTGCCTTTTTTCATAGATTTCAGCTCCAAATCTGAGAATAATTTAGTTTGTGGAGTTTGTGGGATGTTGATTGACCATCAGGACACAAAATCTCAACAAAAAAAAATTTGAAATTTTATCATTTTAGTAAGAAGGTAGCTACCTTATGATTTAAATTTTGGAAAACTTTGAAAGGGCATAACTTTTTTTCTATTATAGATAGAAAGCTGAATCTTTCACTGAATTTTATCTTTTTCAAAGGACTACAATCCCTGAAAATTTCACCTCATTTGCACTTATAGTTCCTGAGATAAAATCGTGTTAAGCAATTTGGGGTGATTTATCAACTTTTCAATTTTTCTGAGTGCCTTTTTTCATAGATTTCAGCTCCAAATCTGAGAATAATTTAGTTTATGGAGTTTGGGGGATGTTGATTGACCATCAGGACACAAAATCTCAACAAAAAAAAATTTGAAATTTTATCGTTTTAGTAAGAAGGTAGCTACCTTATGATTTAAATTTTGGAAAACTTTGGAAGGGCATAACTTTTTTTCTATTATAGATAGAAAGCTGAATCTTTCACTGAATTTTATCTTTTTCAAAGGACTACAATCTTTGAAAATTTCAGCTCATTTTCACTTATACTTCCTGAGATAAAATCGTGTTAAGCAATTTGGGGTGATTTATCAATTTTTCTGAGTGCCTTTTTTCATAGATTTCAGCTCCAAATCTGAGAATAATTTAGTTTATGGAGTTTGTGGGATGTTGATTGACCATCAGGACACAAAATCTCAACAAAAAAAAATTTGAAATTTTATCGTTTTAGTAAGAAGGTAGCTACCTTATGAGTTAAATTTTGGAAAACTTTGGAAGGGCATAACTTTTTTTCTATTATAGATAGAAAGCTGAATCTTTCACTGAATTTTATCTTTTTCAAAGGACTACAATCCCTGAAAAATTCAGCTCATTTGCACTTATGGTTCCTGAGATAAAATGGTGTTAAGCAATTTGGGGTGATTTATCAATTTTTCAATTTTTCTGAGTGCCTTTTTTCATAGATTTCAGCTCCAAATCTGAGAATAATTTAGTTTATGGAGTTTGGGGGATGTTGATTGACCATCAGGACACAAAATTACAACAAAAAAAAATTTGAAATTTTATCGTTTTAGTAAGAAGGTAGCTACCTTATGATTTAAATTTTGGAAAACTTTGGAAGGGCATAACTTTTTTTCTATTATAGATAGAAAGCTGAATCTTTCACTGAATGTCATCATTTTCAAAGGACTACAATCCCTGAAAATTTCAGCTCATTTGCACTTATAGTTCCTGAGATAAAATGGTGTTAAGCAATTTGGGGTGATTTATCAATTTTTCTGAGTGCCTTTTTTGATAAATTTCACCTCCAAATCTGAGAATAATTTAGTGAATGGAGTTTAGGGGATGTTGATTGACCATCAGGACACAAAATCTCAACAAAAAAAAATTTGAAATTTTATCGTTTTAGTAAGAAGGTAGCTACCTTATGATTTAAATTTTGGAAAACTTTGGAAGGGCATAACTTTTTTTCTATTATAGATAGAAAGCTGAATCTTTCACTGAATGTCATCATTTTCAAAGGACTACAATCCCTGAAAATTTCAGCTCATTTGCACTTATAGTTCCTGAGATAAAATCGTGTTAAGCAATTTGGGGTGATTTATCAATTTTTCAATTTTTCTGAGTGCCTTTTTTCATAGATTTCAGCTCCAAATCTGAGAATAATTTAGTTTATGGAGTTTGGGGGATGTTGATTGACCATCAGGACACAAAATCTCAACAAAAAAAAATTTGAAATTTTATCGTTTTAGTAAGAAGGTAGCTACCTTATGATTTAAATTTTGGAAAACTTTGGAAGGGCATAACTTTTTTTCTATTATAGATAGAAAGCTGAATCTTTCACTGAATTTTATCTTTTTCAAAGGACTACAATCCCTGAAAATTTCACCTCATTTGCACTTATAGTTCCTGAGATAAAATCGTGTTAAGCAATTTGGGGTGATTTATCAATTTTTCTGAGTGCCTTTTTTGATAAATTTCACCTCCAAATCTGAGAATAATTTAGTGAATGGAGTTTAGGGGATGTTGATTGACCATCAGGACACAAAATCTCAACAAAAAAAAATTTGAAATTTTATCGTTTTAGTAAGAAGGTAGCTACCTTATGATTTAAATTTTGGAAAACTTTGGAAGGGCATAACTTTTTTTCTATTATAGATAGAAAGCTGAATCTTTCACTGAATTTTATCTTTTTCAAAGGACTACAATCCCTGAAAATTTCACCTCATTTGCACTTATAGTTCCTGAGATAAAATCGTGTTAAGCAATTTGGGGTGATTTATCAATTTTTCAATTTTTCTGAGTGCCTTTTTTCATAGATTTCAGCTCCAAATCTGAGAATAATTTAGTTTATGGAGTTTAGGGGATGTTGATTGACCATCAGGACACAAAATCTCAACAAAAAAAAATTTGAAATTTTATCGTTTTAGTAAGAAGGTAGCTACCTTATGATTTAAATTTTGGAAAACTTTGGAAGGGCATAACTTTTTTTCTATTATAGATAGAAAGCTGAATCTTTCACTGAATGTCATCATTTTCAAAGGACTACAATCCCTGAAAATTTCAGCTCATTTGCACTTATAGTTCCTGAGATAAAATCGTGTTAAGCAATTTGGGGTGATTTATCAATTTTTCAATTTTTCTGAGTGCCTTTTTTCATAGATTTCAGCTC